TTACAGTGTCTCTTGACAGGACTTTTAGAGGGGGGCTGGCATTCTTTCAGGAAAAGAAAAAACAAAACTTTGAGGAATTCTCAAAGATTAGTGGATTTAGTGTGGCCTAAGGTTTAACAGTACAGATCACACATCATCTGAAACATGCAATTTTGTACCTTTGAAGATGACACCCGTCTTCCCACATAAGATTTTACTGCCTGAAGCTAAAATGTTATATCAACCATAGCTGCCAAGTTTCCCATCTCAAAACTCTTAATTTTGATGTGTCTGAATTCTTTGAAAGATTGCATACAGTGCTTTATTTCTAGGCTTCAGTATTCTGTGACTGCCTAAGAACATGAGCTGCAAGTAGATAAAATGAACCTCCTTAAATATTTGTCTGATAGCTGAAAGAATTTAGTAAATCTCTCATAGTGGAATTTTCTAGGGTGGGCTCTTGCCACCTCCAGGTGAAAGGGAAGGGGGGGACACAGTTTAAGGTCCATTTGCCTGAGTCTCCTATAGCAGTTATGAGCCAGGCTAAAGGTATGATAAGTGTAGGTGGGATGTGAAACAATGATAGAAGGCAGGTGACCTAAAACAATGCAGCTTATGACTACTACAGGCTGTGAGAGTGGTGGGGGTGTTTCCAGTTCTCAGGAGTAAGTGAAAGGGTAAACAATTTAATTCATTTCTACAACTTAGAGCAAAGCCTACCTGGGGTGTGTAGAAAGGAAACCCTACCAGATGGAAGACAGTGACCTCCTGTGGTTGTTTTCTAGTGCTATAGACCTGAGGTTTCCTATATTAAACAGAAGACTTTTGAATGCCAATTGAGTGGACCACAGAGTCAAGCTACCATAAGTTAATTATGACTAATAACTCACAGGTATAATACTTCAATGGTTCTGTCTTTCAGATACAAGCTACTGAAAGTGAGCTTGCACCTTATGACTCCCTGGCCCTGGTTTATTGGCATTCTGCTGTTCATACCTTATTTATACTAAACTTCCTTCCTCCTCCTTTCTTCATGGAGCAGAATGCCACCAAAAGCTTTAGGCTCCCTCCAGTATCAGCAGTGAGTCTAAGTAGACTGGTTGTTGGAGAACATGGGTACATCCTGCTGGTAGGTTTCCTCATTAGCAGCTATTGGTTGGCCATGGCGTGCATGGAATGCTGGGCTGGATGGCTCTTGCTCTGGTTCAGCTTGGCTCATCTCGTGGTACTTGAAAGATGAACACAAGCATCTCGGTACTTGATAGCTTGTGCAGACCAGTCTCCAGCTTGAAGCAAGGCAGATGGCTTCCTACCAAATGCAGGATTAAATTCTGGCATGTCACTGCAACAATTATATTGCCTCTCCCTCAAGATTTTTGCAGCATTTCCTGGTATAACTACTCCTGAAATGTCATCCAGTGCATTTAAGTATTCCTCAGTGATGAATGGTGAGGAACTAGGGTCAAGGTGTTGCACCTTGGAATCCAATTTGTGCAGGCCATTTTTGATGTCTTTTGAATGAACCAACTGGACTCCATCAAAGCAAACAATTTAATTCTATACTGTCCAGTTGTGAAAGCTCTCTGGGCAGTTCATAACAACAGAAAATACACTATAACATTTTAAATAGTTAAGACTACAGTATAAAATAAAAGTGAGAATTAAAGGAAAACCTACAGTACAAGATAGTGTACAAAAGTAGTTAAAATACAGTACAGAGAAATTTAGCAAACACAATTTACAAGCAAACTCAGTCTACTTATTAATAGCAGCAGCAGCTTCTCCAGTGAGAAAGGAAGATCAGCTGTCCCGGGACTAATGAATGAGTTATTCTGCCATTTTGCTAACTTTTTCGCTTGCTCAAGACACTTCTCTTGAAGCAGGAGATCTGGCTGCTCAAGTGAGTTTCCGCTTCCTAAAAAGAGCCCAACAGCATTTTTCCAGCAGCCCCACTGGGCCCTGGAGGTTATACTGTGTTTTGGTAGGATGGCCACTATGAGTGACACTAAAGGGGAGGCCAAGGATGCTTCTTTGTGTATGTTTTCTGAGGAGCACTTGAAATCAGGGTGAATTTGTTTTAAGTCACTAGTCAGACTAGATTTAAATCATGGTTTCTACATAATTTGCACACATGCCTACTTTATTCATAGGTAGAAGAACTTGATTAAAATATTCCCAAACTGGGTCTGTTTTATGCCCTGCTGCCATTATAGGTTTTCTCCTCCAGGGAAAGAGTAATATGATACTGTATACAAAAGATCAGGCTGTACACAAAAAGATCCAAACATTTGTAGATTATTCTGCTCAAAAGATTTCACTTTTACTGCTTGCCCCTCCCTCCTCACACTTAGCTTCTTGTGCTGAAGGGTTGAGGGTTGATTCTGTGTAAATAGATTTGTAAAGGAACAATGGGATTAATTTTTTTCCCTTAACTCGGTATGTTTATTTTATAACATTTTTGTTGTGAAGAAGAGGCATGTGATCTCTGTAGACACAAATTCACAGTTTTGAGAAGTGCAAAACCAAGCATCCCTGATTATATCTTCTAGATAGAAAAATTGTCCAATAATCTTATAGAAACCTCTGGAAGTGCATGGCATTGTGAATGGATTAATAGAATTCATTTACAAAAAAAGTTAAACATTGCACAAACACACAGCCTCATGCTATATAATTAAAAACTAATCTTTATTTCTAACCTCTGGACTGTAGTATATCTGAAATAGAAGGCTCAAAGAGCATTTTATTTAAAAATGCAATTTCAATCAAAAGCTGATTTAAATTTTAAAAATATTTTTATCCACCCTGCTTAAATTAGCACTTTGGCCACTTAGAACCTGCATTCTTGGGAGTTAATTCTAATAGTGCTACAGTTAGCTTTACAACATGTCCCTTGAAGAGTGGGGAACAGAAGCTGATTTGGGAACAACTATTCAAATGCTAACTGACAAGTGGAAGACAAAATAAGAGATGGGTTGACTGTATAGAGGAACAGCTACAGGCTTTAACTCAGATGAGCTGAGCTGGGCTGGCATGGCTACTAAACTTTGACGGGCGTACACAGGGTCACCACAAGTCAGAGATAAGTTGAAGGCACAGAACAAGAGAAGGTATGGTGAGGAGATTCCAACCTGTTTCAGGGAAAGAAGGATACACTGCCATTTTCTTTTTGCAAAAGAAGCCACAGTCAAAGTGAAGGTGGCCCTTCTGGTGTAAAGGTCACATTCATTAACACCAGGTCCCTTACTGGGAAAACATCACTCATTCAGGGTTCTGTTCTGGATAAAGATGATGACAGGAGATGTTTCATAGAAAGCTTAGTAAGGGAAAAGGGAGGGAAATTGTGTCTCACCTAGCTCTGCCTGCCAGGTTCTTCTGGGAGACAGCAGGTGAGGGCTGGGGAGCAGGCAGGGATGGAGCGGCAACAGTGGAAGAAAACTGTTTTACCACCCAGATGCTCCACCTTGCAATCTATTAATTTTGAGTCTGTGCTGCTGTGTTTGGGTGACCAGAACAGCATAGGGATTCTGTCCATGGACCATTCAACTCACTGCTGAACAATCTCCTTTCTTAAACTAGGCAGGCCAAGCTGAAGGCTGCTGCTGAGTCATCCCATATGTCTTGTCCTGGGGTATTTCAACATTCATGTGAGGTTGGTCAGGATATCAGGTCCATTGTGGTCTTGACCAGATTGCTAGAGAAGGGAGAGCAGGACAGTTTCTGGCTCACCATGGACAAATTGCTTCATTTTTTGTGATAAATTTATTTGAATTCACTTTGAATTGACTCCAGAATTAGGGCAGGTTAGAGTATTGTAACCTTGTCCAGCTTTAATTTTTTTTTCAGCTTGTGTGTGTGTGTGTGTGTGTGTGTGTGTGTGTGTGTATATGCCCTCCCGCCCCTTGAGATCAGCAACAGATGCCCTCTCCGGGAACCCTCTGTGAATGATATTAGGAGGGTGAGTACCCGGAGGAGGGCTTTCTCTATGGAATGCGCTCCCCAGAGAGGTCCACCTGGCGCCGTCGTTATTTGTTTTTCGGCGCCAGGCTAAGACCTTTTTATTTAAAACTTATTTTAATTGTTAAATTATTGAATTAATTAGGATTTTAAAATTTTTAGCCAAGAATGCACCGGGGGTTTTTAAACGATTTTTTTATTGTTATATTATCATTATTTATGTATGTATTTATGTATTCTTTGTGAGCCGCCCCGAGGCTTTGTTGCGATGGGGGCGGCATAGAAATGTTTTAAATAAATAAATATATTGCAAAGACAGGGACAGAAACAGTGACGGCCATCATTTGACTCTTTGATGATTAAATTGGCTAACTACAGTGAATCAAGACAATGGATAAAGGGAGAGTGATAGTAGAGAAATCAGTCAATACAGAATGGAAAACAATGCATAAGAGGAACTTTTTATGAGACAGAAGTTGCCATGCAGATAACAGATACTCTTCCTCAAAATAAGGTTAGAAATTATGCCTTTTACCCACTGGTACTATGTTTGTGACTATGGCTGGGATACTGACGGAAAAGTGGAGAGTAGGCTATTGCTTCAACCTGTTTCTCACAGGCCAGGCACGTGTTTGAATGCAGGCCTCATAAAAACAAGCAGGATTTTTCATCTGAATCACGCCTGACATTTTGTCATGTAGCCAAAAGGTTGAGTGCAGGTAAGTTCACTTTCTGTACCTTGTTGCTGTAGCGTACCACTCTTATTTGCATATTAATATACATTATAGGTAACACATTTTATAATCCCTGTTATACCTTTATAATTAGCCAGGCATGCTGATGGAACCTTCTACAGACTTTGCAAAGAAACTTGGTTATTTCTTAAGATGTGGCAAGTGTTCCCTTTCATAGCACATTAAGAAACTTGTATGACATAGGCTTGTGACTGGAAGCACACGGTTGACAAAATTCAGCCACAGAGGCTTTCTGTATGACAGCTATATGTTTGAATGTGATTAACCTTTCATAATGAAGCAACGTCTTTCTTAAAAATGGAAGGAAAATGGTTTTTTAAAGGTTTATTCTTAAGCAGAGGTATACAGGCAGTTCATATATTTGAACATCCCATAATCCACAGTGGGCTGCTTGGCAGACAATATTGTATGACCCTGGGGACCATGCGTTATGTGAAGGTTGAACTACCCTTGAATAAACCCAGTGTCACGATAAGCTGTGGCTGCAAAATCCCACCCAGCACGCATGGCACTTTACCATGGCTACTTTACCCATGCAAAACCAGGTCAGCGGTTTGGGTCCAATATAAGCAACTCACGATTGCGTTCATGGGAAAGTTTGATCTAGGGGGGAAAGCACACTGGTGGAAGTTGAGTTTTGTTGGTTCATCCCCCCTTCCCAGTGGATCTGCTATGAGGGCTGGGGGCCCCTCTGGAATGATGGGGACGGTTGTTCAAGCAGCTGCAGAGAGAGGAGAGAATCAACAAAAATTGCTTCCTTTTAGACAGCAAGTGCATTCCAACTGGAATTCTGATCAGATTCTTCTTTGGCTGTCAGAACAAATACCTGATCCAACCCTACTGGTTTTAAATCTTACACCCTGCATTTACACTTTCCTGCTGTAGTTTCTTCAAGAGTTGTTACCTGCTAAAGCTGTAGGCACTGGACAGCTGAAGGTATTCTAATACACATCCTATGTGTTTTGTACATTTAAATCAGCATTACATCTGCTGATTGCATCAGAAGCATCATTCAGACACATAATATCATGTGCTCACTTTTTTCTCTTAATGAAGTTCAATTTTTTGTTTTCAGTTCCAACCCACATTTTTATAACAGTCAGCAAAAACTTAAGCTTCTCTAATTGTCAGTGGGGGTAGGGAGAGACATTCTCAAAATCTGAGAAACCAAACTTGTGTTCCAGGCATCAACCCAGCTCTGATGCAATTTTCTTAAAAAAAGACATCCTGTCAGCTGGGTTCTACCTTGAAATCCCAACTACAAAACATGGATTAAATGCCCCTGATGGTTTCCTGAAATTAAGGGGATTGTTCAAAAATCTATACTGATGCTCATGCATGTAAGGCAAGAAGAGAAAAACACATTGTCATGCAAAAGGAAGATTACCGTTCTCCAATCCCATAACAAAGCAGCAGGTGGCTTGAAGGCTAAAGGTCTTCCCAAACTCATCTCTTAGATATAAACATTGTAAATGAAGTCTCATTTCAAGTAACTTCCATAAGAGGCACTTTTGGTCACAGCTGAACTAATCAGCTTTGAGACTGAACTACCACAAAGAAAGCACCACATCATAATTGCTCATTATACCGTTCCACAACCGAAGCTCTCTGGGCGTTTTATAACAATTCTTAAAGCAGACAATATTGCAATGGAAATACAAAATCAGAAAAATAGAAAGAACCCGAACAGCATTAGCTACTTGTGAATAATATTGCCCGGCATTTCGACGGTGCAGTTTTGCAAGTAATTTAAATCTTATCTGCCTGGTTAGGTCAGCTCAGGGCCAAGCAAGCAAACGGGGCCCCTCTGTATACGTCCCATTTGTGGGTGTACACCTGAAATATTTTAAGCGCGTGTACCTTAAACGTGAACTGCACATACGTATCGGGAAGTCAGCACTGGGTGCTAGGCCTGCGTTAAGCCGGCGTATCGTGTTAAACAGCCTTGGCGGCGTGTTGTCTCATTGCAAGGTAGGAGAAAGGTGTAGGAACAGAAGCACACGCAACACTTTTGTACCGTTGCCACCTCCTTTGACCAGTCAGCGAAAGGGCAAAACGCAGAGCGAGCGGCGCCTGCTCGCGCCTCTTCCATCGATCCACGCCGCCTGGATCTCGTGGGACTGAAAGTGGCGCATGCGCCGGGAGCTTACTCGGCTGCCGGTGGGAGGGGTAAGAGGGAACGCGCACGCGCCGTTTCCATAGGCAGAGGATGCTGCGAAGCCCCTTTTACGAGAAAGGGCGTGCCGCACGGGGACGGAGTACGTCGAGCGAACGCTGTGGGCGGCCGCTTTGTGAGGGCGGCGCGCATGTCCGCTCTTGCCTTCAAGGTGACAGCGGCGCTGAGAGTCGGGAAGGCGCGTGGGGCGCGCATGCGCGCCAGCTTACCCCGATGCGTGCCTGAAGATCCGGAGCCGGTGATGGGATTTCACTGTGTGTGAGTGGCCGGAGGGCGCGGGCGGGGGGCCTTCCCGGAAGCAGGCTAAGGACGGCTGCGCTCCTTCTGGCCGTGTTCTCTGAGGAGTTGTGTCTGAGGGTTGTCGACAGGCGCGAGGGGCTGTAGTTGGGTAAGGGTGCTGGTGCTGGTGCTGGTGCTGGAAAGGGGCCGCGGACCGATGGTCTTCTCACCCCCTCCCCCCAGTCATGGCAGTGGGTGAGAGAAGCTGAGGCAAAGGGCTTTATGCGGCTGAGGGGAGATGGAAGAGTGTGTACTATCAGGAAAGGTCCATCTGCGAACTGCGTGGTGAAAGAAAGCTAGGGGGAGGCGTCTCCAGAAGGAAATTGATCCTTAAATGCTTTCTTTTTTTATTTTGAGTCCCCTTTTAGGAATGTAGGAAACTTGCCCGAGTCAGGCTATTGGCCCAGTCAGCGCAGTTATTGTCTTACTAGCTTTGCCCAGTCAGATGTGCAGTATTACAACTCCCAGCATCCCCAGCTGTAGGCCAACACATCTGGGGGCACCAGGTTTTTCCAGGGTTTCTTTCCCCTGCTGGAGATCTAATGTAGGACCATTTGTGTACAAATCACAAGTTCTACCCCTTGAGGTTACAGCCCACAAAAAAGCTTACAATGTACTCCAATCCATGCTTACTCATAAATAAGCTCCACTGTGCTCAGTTGAGACTTACTCCCATGTAATTGAGTGTAGGTTTGTGACTGTGGAGTGTTGTTGTTGTTGTTAGTCGTGAAGTCGTGTCCAACCCATCGCGACCCCGTGGACAACATTCCTCCAGGCCTTCCTGTCCTCCGCCATCCCGCAGAGTCCACTTAAGCTCACGCCGACTGCCTCCGTGACTCCATCTAGCCACCTCACCCTCTATCACTCTCTTCTCCTTTTGCCATCCATCGATCCCAGCATTAGGCTCTTCTCCAGGGAGTCCTTCCTTCTCATTAGGTGGCCAAAGTATTTGAGTTTCATCTTCAGTATCTGGCCTTGATCTCCTCTAGGACTGACCGGTTTGATCACCTTGCAGTCCAAGGGACTTGCAGGAGTCTCCTCCAGCACCACAATTCAAAGACCTCAATCCTTTTGCGCTCAGCCTTCCTTATGGTCCAGCTTTTACAGCCATACATTGCAACTGGGAAACCCGTAGCCTTGACTATACGCACTTTTGTTGGCAGGGTGATGTCTCTGCTTTTTAGTATGACTGTGGAGTCTACTTGCTACTTTGCTTTCATTATGTGCTTTGTTTAAGGTTGCTTCCTACCCTTTTCTGGCAATTTTAAACTACCCACAGACCAATTTTCAATTGGTGATCCTTTATTTGGCAGTACAGGAAGGCTTCACCATTTGTTGTGTACCTGTATTATTTTCTTTCTAGTAATATAGTTGTTGCCTTGTTGTTAAGATGTATGTTGGGAGTGATTGTCAAGGTTACACTTTTGTGTCTCTTGTCAGAATTGTGTGGTTGGTAAGACTGTCAGGGTTGCTGCAGTATTTGAAGACAGATCTTGTTTAGGCAGGTTTCTGGTGTTTAGGGCAAGATATAATGTATGGAACATTAATTTTGTTGGTAATAGTTGTGTGGACAAACAAAATTTTTATCCTTTTATTTTAAAAGTGGTATATCAGTAAGTTCTAGTACAGATTGTTTTAAAAAGTTTTGTTTGGCCGACTTTAAAGGTTTTTGTCCCCTCATTTTTCCTAGGAGGGCCAAAATACTTGCTAAAAATATTAGCTCATGCCCTCCAGATGTTTTTGTATTGCAACTCAGATTAGCCATGGTTAGAATAGCCAAGACTCAGAAATGCTTGGAGTTGCAGAGCAAAACATCAGATGAGGTGAGGGAAGGCTGTTTTAGGCGTGTGTGTGTGTGTGTGTGTGACTAATAAATGCCTTTCTTAATGGGAGCCAGCAATAAGGCAATAACTGCTGTCCAAGACGTGGACACTTCATGTCGTTCTGGCTCTGTGGAACATGCCTCCAACCATCTTATTCTGTATCCTTGCTTAGTTAGCAAACTACTTTATGAATCTTAAAGGATTGACTAGGGCAAAGGCAAATTGTTTGGCTGGCAGTCAGTCTTGCCTGTGATTTGAGACCCAGCAATAAGTGCAGAGGGAATGACAGGATGGAAAGGGAGAGATTGAGTAAGTAGGACCAGGAAATGAGAACATCTGATCAAATTAAGCCAAGTGGCTTAATAGACTTGGAAGCCTTTCCAGGTAGTTTCCAAAGAAACATTTGCACAAAGTTAACAGAATTCCCAAATATTGTTCTGCAATGGAAGGTTGTAACAGATTACATGTGAACAACTAAACTGATGTCTGGGATTTATTTTATTTTGTTTTTTGTTCTCCAGGACTAAGATTAAATTATAGCAGTTATGGAGTGTGCAAGTTGCTGTGAGCAGATTCTTAACTGATAGGAGAGGTTTCAGTCTTCTTCTCAGATGAAGCTAGATGCTCCATTCTGTTACCAGTCATTTTTGTTACCAGTGGGGCCATTCAAGATAATGTTCCATACTATCTACTTATCCAAAAACATGTCTTAGTCACTGATTGGCATGGGTGGTAGTCTGGCAGATTGTTAGCCAAGGAGACATTAATAGCATAGTCAACAGCACATGAGCCTGTTGGTTTTATATGTTTCATTTCGTGCCCTTCTAGTCCTTTCTTTTTGTTGACGCCATCATTAGCTTGATGCACTAGCCCCATGCATAAGTTCATCAGCACATACAGGACTAATGTGTTTCCGTGTATCAGAGGGTCATGAGCACAATGTCCCCTGCATCCAGCTACATCGGAATCTTAGTGCATTCAGCACAGAAATCCCAATAGGTTTGTGGAACATGTTGGAATTGGTTCTGAACTTCATGGTCATCATGACAATGGGTCTATCCTTACTGATAGCTTTGTTCCACTTTCTGGATTGCCTAACTGCGATGTGACACAGTTGTGGGACTCCTGTTTGACACTGTGGCCATTGACCAACTTGCATGGATGGGCAACTTATCCTCCAGGTATTTTGGCATTTAGTACTGATCAGAGCTAGCCCACATAGCCCATGGTGAAGGATGCAGATGTTGCAAACGATAAGTTGCTTGCTTCTAGCTTGCATTGCTTATCAGGATTCTGTTTTGCCTCACAATGCTATTTAACCCATGCATGAAACTGCTGCAAAAAATTATCTGGAATTCTGTGGTTCAGTGACACCATATGCTGTTGATTCCTGAAACTGCCTCTTTTTAAAATCTAAATCCAAGGAAGCTTCACTCATAGCATGCTCGCTGCTCAAGACTCTTTGAGCAGTGGGATAAGGAAAGACTTCTGTTAGAGATTCTGCATAGTTGTTGGACCAGACTGTGATAATTGCAATTATCTGTAAAATAGCTTACATTTGTGTGGAAGTTCTTTGGCATTTTTTCCCACTGCTGCAGTTCATGGTTAGGAGAAAAATGAACTTTGTGCTCATGAAGATACAAGGTGGCTTTCAGTTGCTATTTGTTCACCTGTTGAATTCTGAATGAATGCTCCACATTAATTTATTGCAAAGGAACAGCTTTAGATTAGTTTTGCACTTAAAAGGATAAATGCAAGACTTGATTTTTCCTATTCCTCCAGCAATTACTATCTTACCTTCATCTTAAAATAACTACTAGTCAATGACATACTAACAAAAAATCCCTTGTATCAACCTGGTGCCCTCAACATGTGCTGTACTACAACTTCTAGCATGGTAGAATTTCCCAGATGCTGAGTGTTACAGTTCAACACATCTGGAGTTTGAGGAAGGCTAGCTTATGTGTACTGCAGTCTTCAGTGCTATTACAAGAAACCTGGTAAGGCACTATTTTTTAAAACAACAACTACAACTGAAACTTATTTCCTTGCAAGGTGCGGCCTCTTGTTGTTGAGTAAAGTCTTAGGAGGTTATCTAAGGTATTATTCATACCAGGATAACTAGCTTGTTGATTTAAAAAGTTGTGAAGAGAGTTATCTTCTTGCTCTAAATGGAGCAGTTATACTTGTCTGTGAAGCATTCTTTCAACACAGATCTGTACAGACTTGTACTATGATGTAAAAATGTTCTACAATGCCTTCCTGATGTGTTGGATTACAGCTCCCAGAACTCCCACCCATGCCACTGCTGACTGGGAAGGTGGAAATTGCACTTGAACACAGTTAGCCTAGACTGGTCAGATGCTAGAGGAAAACCCTTTTCCTTTCCTCCTTGTAAAGCCAGACAAAGAGAGACATTGGTGGGGGATATTCTTGGCTAACTACAACAGAGGCTAAGCTGCAAGGTTGCAACCCCAATTCTGTCCATGTGGATGTTGGTCCAAATGTGGCTAGGGTTGCTTCAATAGATGTAACTTTGATCTTTCAAAATCAGTAGTCCTGCAATCACAATATTCAGTGGTCTGTGCTGCAGGTGTCAGATTCTATTTTTTGGCTTTTCCCTGAAATCCTGAACACACATACTTGTATCTACTTCTAGTAGCTTAAAGCAGTTTGCTTTTAACTGTTGGCATACCTGCTGCTTCCTAACCAGAGCGTAGAGAAATTTTATCAAAATACTTCTAATCCTGTGAATGGCTATAATGGCTTAGATGCCACTGAATCCTAGCATCTAAGTAAATATGCATAAGATCAAGTGGTACACTTGCCTTAACATTATTCAATTAAGTATTGATAACTTTTTTTTTTCAGCTACACCACCATGCCTGGATCTCTTCCTGTGAATGCTGAAGCCTGCTGGCCAAAAGATGTGGGAATTGTTGCACTGGAGATCTATTTTCCTTCCCAATATGTTGACCAGGCAGAGTTAGAGAAATTTGATGGTGTGGATGCAGGGAAATACACCATTGGCTTGGGCCAGTCTAAGATGGGCTTCTGCTCAGATAGGGAAGACATCAATTCACTTTGTCTCACTGTAGTCCAAAAGCTTATGGAGAGGAACAATCTCTCCTACAACTGCATCGGGAGACTTGAAGTTGGAACAGAGACAATCATTGACAAATCCAAATCTGTAAAGACTGTTCTGATGCAGCTTTTTGAAGACTCTGGTAACACAGATGTGGAAGGCATTGATACAACCAATGCGTGCTATGGAGGTACTGCTGCACTCTTCAATGCTGTTAACTGGGTGGAATCCAGTTCCTGGGATGGTGAGTTTAGTTATCTCAAGTAAGCAACATTTATGAGAAATTGTGAAAGCAAAGAGTGAGGGTGGTAAAACACACCTAACACAGGTGGACAACTGATATCCTAATAGCTAGTGTGCACTTCCCAAGGGTCTCTGTAATGCATAGTGGTACCCATGCAAGTCAAAACACGGCAAATAAAATGCTCTGTAACAGGTTAGGAATAATAATGCTGCCTTGGCAGAGTTCTTCCAGTGCACACCTCAACTGTTGACTGTAATGTGCAGGCTGAAGGATGGAAAATAGGAGTAATAGAAGTGCATAAGGTGGAACCTTTGCTAAACCACACTGCTGCTGTAGGTATCATGGAGCAGTGAGGGATAAAAAGTACTTTCCTATGTCTTGTGAGCTTACCTGTTAGTCTATTGGCAGAGGTAATGCTGCTAGCTGTTTAGTTTCTTGTCACTTGAAAAAGAGAGATGGCTAAAACTCAGTTGCTGTCAAGTTGCTGTTCACAGTATTTGTTGAACAACATTCCAGCAAAAAGGTCATTCAGAGTCGGTTACATTCCTTACTGTGGAATGAGGACATGATCCTGAGTGTAAAATCATGTTGATTTCAGTGGGGGTTGGTAGCAATTCATTTTGTTGTGCTGGGCGAATTGGTTACGTGGCCAAGTTTGTAAGAAGAAACTATCTTAACAAGAGTAAAAAGACAGAGGGCTGTTTATCTTTAAATTAACTAGTTTAGAATGGTGTGGCCAACTTTTCATAGGCAGTGGACAACTTTGTGTAAGATTTTTACAGCTATACTATAGTACATTAACACAAGAAACAGCTCATGGCCCAATAAAACTTAAATCTCTTTCTACTGAACTAGCACATCACATATTAGTAATTTCAAACTGCAGCACTGAAGGAAGAAAAATGGGCATGCATTTTAGAAATGTATTTGGTTTGAAAAGTAAAAAGTTGATTTCATTCCTGAATTCAAATCTTGCTGCATTGTGAGCTCATTGAGTACCCTTAGGAAAGACCTGATTTCCTAAGCTGCTTTCCGATAGAGAACTTTAATCTGTTGGTTATGTACAAGCTGTGTGGCAACTGTGCTCACCCTCAGATTTATGATGCAACATAAATAGGCTGGTGGAATCAGCATGGATGCCCTAGTCCGAACTTGCAGATGCAGCATTAAACCTTTTTGGGACCTGGAACCATTTTTTTTTTTTTTGGTACCATTTCCATGTGGTGTTAGCTGCCTACTCTGGCAGGTGCCATCAGATAAATCCCCTAAGATTTATTGCTTATTTACAAACTAAAGAAGTACATAACAAGATGTACATAACAGGATGTGTGTAGTAACATGCATAAGTAATTTGTAAGCCTGAGTTGGGGTGTTATATCTCAGGCCAAATCTGGGCCATCCAGGTCCCAGTCCAGAACTCTGAGTTCCCCAAATGGCCACACCCCTCCTTCCCTATCATCTTCCCCAGGTGCCAATTTTTCACAATATTTTCCATCCTTGAACACCTCTTTCAAGGAAGGAAAGACCTTAAGCTAAAATATGCTGATTTTTTCATATTTTGGTCAGCCCCTCTTGCCTGTGGCTCCATTTTTTCCCCTGAGAGCATCTTTGATGTTGTATGTGGTTGAAAGAGGTTTGACAGCTCTATTTTAGATACTGTATATGTTAATTAGTGGTGGCAGCAGCTTCAAATTGATGAGCAGACTGAAGGTCAACATGCATGCTAAACTCAGACATCCTACCTAATTCAGTGGCACTGCTTCAAACTACATGCACAACCCAATGTGGTATTTGCCACACCTGAAGAGTCTAATAGCCATCTTTTCAATTTTTCTTTGCATTTTGCAGGGCGTTATGCACTTGTTGTTGCTGGAGACATCGCTGTCTATGCTACTGGAAATGCCAGGCCAACTGGAGGAGCTGGTGCTGTTGCTATGCTTGTGGGTCCAAATGCACCTCTTATTTTTGAGAGAGGTTAGTGTTCTGTCTGCACTGATTTCTCAGTAAATAACTTGTAGAATTTGCATGAGCACACTGTGCTTACAATATAAGAGCAAACTAGAGCTAAATTGTCCTTTTCCATCTGCAAAAGGGATCATCCAGTGATTTCATGTTTACACTACTTAAAGCAGGATCTTTTACATTTTCACTTTTCCATTCCTTGCACAAGTAGATTGCTTGTTCAAGCAGCAGGTGTGCAGGTGAACTTGCTAGATTATCACCAGGACTAGTTTATAGTAATATTAAAAATAACTTTCTACTGCTAAGCATGTTAGTATTGTATTTTTTTTCCAGGCCATATTCAAAAGTGGAAACACTCTCCCTTTTCACTGCTTCTTACTCCTCTTGGTTTAACCTGTGATTCTGCCAAGTGGTCCCTTAAGATAGGAAGAACTCAGAAGTATGTTAATAAGTTGCATCATCTCCTTTAAGCCTGGCTTCTCTCCTTAGGATTGCGTGGGACCCACATGCAGCATGCTTATGACTTTTATAAACCTGATATGGTATCTGAGTATCCTGTGGTTGATGGGAAACTGTCCATACAATGCTACCTCAGTGCATTAGATTGCTGCTACGCTGTGTATCGCAAGAAGATCCGAGCTCAGTGGCAGAAAGGTATGTTGTAGAGCCAAGGGCTTGCTTTTATTCTTGGATCCAGTTTTTTCATCCACAGCATTTGGAAAAGTATTACATACCTAAAATATTTGCCAAAAGTTGAAAAGTTATTTGTTGCACAGCATTGTTTTACTGAAACATGTTGTCTTGTATCTAAATGTTTACTGCAAGAGCCTGTATCATATTAATCACATAGCAACTCTGCATTACTACAGTGATACAACTTCTGTATTATTGGGTGTGGGTGAAGGGACCCCACTGTTTATATTAGATGAGTAATGGATGGATGGTATTATTACTCTTTTTCTGTAACACAGATTTTCCTTTTCATCAGGAAAGGCCTTTTCTTTTAAATAGCAGGCTTCAAGGAATACATATTTGGTTTTACAATGTATTTTTAAAGATTTTAATCTTTGTAATTGGCCCAGAGAACATTGTCTATTGCGTTGTATAGAAATGTAATATAAAAATGTAATATTACAGTAATTAATACTGTAATATTGTGTGTAGTCCCTGAGCATTTAAAAAGAAAGTAGTGGATAGCTTTTTTTAATGAATGGGGCTCTATCTGCAGAGGAGGAGATTCCAGTGTGGATTGCACCTATCCATCCCTCCCAGGTGCTATAGAAGGCTTCTAGGTAGAGACTTTAATGAAGGTTGCAAACATAAAGAAGGGAGAAAAGAGAAGGGATAGGCTGTGCAGTGCAGTGGATCATACTTGTCTTTGCTCTTGGTAGCACAATTCTACTAAACAGGCTCAGAGGACTATCTAGTCAAATCAGTCAAGGCCCAATGAAGATGTTGCTGATGTTATAATTCAAAACCTGAAATGGCCTGGAACTGGATTACATGATGACTCCTTTTTTCCCCATGTATACTTGTTCTCACTCTTACAGCATCTTCAGTGGACCTTTCTCTGGCAGCCCCCACTAAATAAAGAGAGATGGATGGCTCCTAAGAAGGGGGCCTTTTCAGTTAAGAAACACCACTTGTGGGATGAGCCCTGCAGAGCTCATGGTGGTCCTTTTAGCACTAGGTGAAACATTTATTTTCCCAGGCATTTTAGTCTTTGTGTTTATGTTATTTAAAACCTGTTTGGTATTTTAAATGTTTGCCCAATAAGTGGCTCACAACAATTAATAACCTACGACACAATAAAATATATGAACACTTAAAAGTTTAAAACTACAATATAAAAATAAGACCAGAAGCAAACTTAGCAGCAGTGCAGAGTGAAAATTTAATCAACTCTGTAAAGGAGGACAGAGAGGCAAAAACCTCTACTCCGCTGGCAGGCACCTTGCAGGGCACTGAATTATCAGAAGGCTCTGAAATCAGAGGCTTCCATCTAGTGGGGTAGCATTTCAGTAAGATATTGTGCCCTTAGGGACTTATTTCTACACTGTAGCATATGTATATGGGATTAATAGTTGATGTATCTGACAGGCATATAAGTTAGCATTCTAGAAATTGCAAAATTGGGCTTCAAATTTTTACAGGTCTTGTAAACACTGCCTTTTAAAAATGGTTTCAACTGTTTCCTAGCATTGGTAGGCTTTGAACAAACAGTAAACTTGCATGTCTACTTGGAAAAAGCTTTGTTATGTTCAACAGTTCTTACTTCCAAGTAAGTGCATGTAGAATCTATTGGCAGAATATCAGCTTAACTTTTTTCCTCCTCCTATCCAGAGGGAATTGACAAAGATTTCACCCTGAATGATTTTGGCTTCATGATCTTCCATTCTCCATACTGCAAACTTGTACAGAAATCAGTTGCTCGTCTTTTGCTGAATGACTTTCTTAATGACCAGACATCCACAAAAGAAAATGACATCTACAGTGGCTTGGAAGCCTTTAAGTAAGAAACTTTCAAATTAAATAAAATACTTAATTCAAGAGAGGCCACAAAAAGTAACCTGTGTTTTAAAATAGCAAAACATTGATGTTTTGATGATTTATATGTCTGATTATGTAAGTATATCTTTAAAAAATATGAAAACTTTTGAAAGATGCATGAAACACTGGTAACATTTCTCTTATGCAAAGATATCTGGGAAATTTTTAAATAGGAAAAAAGTTTGCTTGCATGGCCCCCCTCTTTCCCATAACCATAATCACATTGCTTATTTAAAATAATTATTTAATAATGGTTATTTTAGAGGGATAGTTGTGTTGTAGCATAATGCTAAACTTGTTTATTTATTTATTTAGGAAGCTTCTATGCTTCAGTCTCTGTTTGTTCAGTAGGATTTATTTCTAAATAAGTGAGTTTAGGATTGCAGACTTACTCTGTTACTATAAATGCAAAAATTGTATATGATACTTTAACGGAGTTACTGGTTTGGCTTGTCCAATCATATGTTGGGATAATAAGATGAGTTAAAAACAAGACTTTTGCCTGTCACACAACTGTTTTTTCTTCTCTTCTCCTTTCTTCTCATGCTTAAATGCAATGTGGTAGTATTCAGTTAATTGAAGTTGCCTGTTTCACCTGCACTGTGGGATTATTGTTACCATCTTGGGGAAAAGCCAGGATCTTGAACTACACTGAAAGTAGTTCAGACAAAAGAAGAATATATGACTAATGGAAGAATTCTCTCTTCTATTGGTGTGCCAGAATGCAATGCAGAAGTGACCTCATGCATTGGTGCAGGACCCTTTGGATAATTGCCCAAATGAGAACATTGTAAAATTTATGTTGGGACTAAATACTGCAGCATATGACCTCTCAGATAGAAGCTGAGCATTCTTTTAAATGTCATTTGCCATATCTGATTGAATGGGAATAACTGAAGGAAATTGGCGGGGGGGGGTGTGGATAGTCGGGATACCTTAAAAAAACTGGGGAAATGTCAGATACCAAATAGTACAGATGCTAGGTATTCAGTGTGTTCCATATCGGACTCTAGTCTTGAAGTCTCCTGAACTGTCTTTCAGCTCCCATCTTCCTCAGCCCAATACCTAATGGTCAGGAAGGTTGAAAAAGGCTGATATACCATGTCTTCTAAATACTTCTCTTCTTTCTGCAGAGACGTAAAACTGGAAGATACATACTTTGACCGAGATGTGGAGAAAGCTTTCATGAAAGCCAGTGCTGAACTTTTCAACCAAAAAACAAAAGCCTCTTTGCTTGTTTCTAATCAGAATGGGAATATGTACACACCTTCAGTCTATGGCTGTCTTGCTTCTCTTCTGGCTCAGTACGTATGATGGTGGGATGCAAAACTAAGTTTGAGGTGTGGGTCTTACAGTGATTTGACTTAGGTAACATATTCTTAAAGAAAAAAGTATAATTTGAACCATGGCTTGCTTTCACATCCATTTTGTAAATTAGTAGTAAGTAGAGTGCCTTTGAGCAAGTGCAAAGTGCCTTATTTTTCCATTGAGGGACCTTTCCAACCTTTCCTATGCCAGAGGACATAGAATTCCAGGTACAGAGGGTGACCTCACTTTTTTGCCTTTTGAAATTGAGTTTTATCTAAAGAAGGTAGTTTGCATCTTGGAAGCAGACTTCCCTGTCTTCTCAGGCTCATAAAAATTCAACACATAGAGTTGAGAGAGTCTGAGTGGGATAGGCTATGTTGTGGAGAGAAGAGGGGGAATCCTTGCAGTTGCTGTTGCCTAATTTTCAGAGATTTCCCCCTCTCTCCCCATGCTCCAACTTAGCCTATTGAGCAGGGTTCCCCTATCCTCTGTGCAACATGTTTGTGGGAGCAGAAGAACAGCAGTGCAGAGGAGATAACGTCCCAGCAGCCTAGTTACATGCACCTAAATTTGTGCATAACCCAGTATGCAGAGCCATTGAAAAGGTTAGGGCAGCTGGGCATTCATTGTATATCTGTATGACACATACTTGTGTTAATAAAATCTGGAGTGTGACTACTTGCAGAATAAAAGTTCTCAAATAATGTAGGTGTCAGGTATTGGGCAAGAAGTGGTATTTTGCGGCATCCACAAAACAGTTTACATTAATTCAAATGTGTTGTTCACACAGCTGTGGCAACGTCAAATTTGGCCTGATGCCACTTAGCCAAGTAACTTAGTGTGTGATATTGGGCCTGTCATGCTCTCTCAGCCTCCCCTGCCTCACAGAGTTTCTGCTAAGATAAAAGTAGGCAGGAGGACCATCAACTCCACCTCAAGCTCCTTGGAAGAAAGGCAAGATACAAATCAAGTCATCTGTGTACCTTTGAAATAAGGCTGCCCACTCCTGGCTGTGTCATAACTATTTAAACGTAGCAATGTGGCCCAATGAATGCTTTAATATAATTCATCCATGCATGTTGGAAGAAAAGTGTATGTCTGGGGCAAGGGGAGAGTCCAGTAATTTCAGTGTAAGGCAGGAGAAAAATAGCTTTCTGTTAAAATCTGCCTTTGAAAATAATGGCTTTGCTAACAGGAAAGAAGGAATGACACTGCAGGCAGCCTAGGATAGAGTCAGCTCATTACCAGAAGCAGCTGGCCCTAAATTTCATTCAACTAGTTTTGGACAGAGCAAACCAAATAAACTCTATAGACAACTAAGAATTTATATCTTTCATTCAGTTTTCCCAGATGTACTTCTTGCTGACATCTCTCTTTCTTGTGTGCAGGTACTCTCCTCAGCAGCTGGCCGGGCAGAGGATTGGGGTCTTCTCTTACGGATCTGGATTTGCTGCTACCCTCTACTCCATCAAGGTTAGCCAAGATGCAACCCCTGGTGAGTAAAATCAGGAAGATGTGCTCTGCACAACCATTTCTAATGTTTAAAGTCACAATGATAGGAAACAGCCAGTGTTTAATCTCCATTTGCAGTGCATACAGAACACTAGAGAATCCCCTCTTTTAAAGTGTAAAGGAAACAAAGATGTTTTCCTAACTTTTCCTTTAAACATTGAGTCATTTAACTTTTGTTAACATTGCACGAGGTAGAAATAATGCTATCATAAATTATTATTTTGTACTGCAGGCTCTTCCCTGGATAAAATAACAGCAAGTCTTTCTGATCTGAAAGCAAGGCTTGATTCAAGGAAATGTATCGCACCAGAAGTGTTTGCGGAGCGTATGCTGCTTAGACAAGAGACTCATCACTTAGGTGAGTGGGGGTAGAGAGTCTGCTCCTAGTTGGATCCATTCATAGCCATACTTGAAGTAGATCTGCTGACATAAATAGAATTGTACTTGTAATTTAAATTAAGCCCCAAGTCATGAATCTGCTCCCATATACGAGTACTCCTGGTTCTAACCCATTGTCTCTATTCGGATGGAGCTTAGTGGTCTGCCATAAATTTAGAGCAGACATCTAGTAAGCATTATTTCTTAAATAATGAAATTGGCTCATAAAACGATGCTTTACTCCATAGCTGTAAAACCTTGGATTAAGAGTCTTAGACAGCTCAGTTCATAAAAAAAGATTCTATGTGCCCCAGAAAATAGGAGGTTTAGATATTCCCAGTGTGAAATTTTATTATATAGCAAATCAGATGAGGCATATACCAAATATTATATTTCAGCTGTATAAAATAATATGAGGTAAATTAAAATGTCAGGATGTAGATGGGATCCTTATTAAATATGTTTCTTCAACAAGATAATAAAAATGGTTAAAAAGATGGGAAATCCCCTTTTTAAGAATATGATCAGAATCTGGAATAAATACAGGGACATATTTATCCCATTGATTTTGCCATTATATCTAGTTATGGAATTAGAAAGATTCCCAGAGAATTTGAGTAGTTTGAGGGATGTCCTGAAGAGTAAACATGTTATTAGGTTGAAGGACTGGTTAGAGAAAATGAAGAGTAAAGACATTAGCCAAGCAGTACTGGTACAGGATAAAGTAATTTGGTCAATGGACTAAAGATTGGTTGAAGAAAAATGGTAAATGTAGAGCATATACTAAATTTGAAGATACAATTTTATAGAAAGAAAAACAAGATATGTGGATGAGAGGAATGACAAGTAAAATTTACAACATACTACTAGAAGGGGATGACTGATATGATCCTCTTAAAGAGTCTTGGGAAAAAGATTTTAAAAGAAATATTAGTACTGAAGGATGGAATAATAGTGGGATAAGAGAATTTTAAAATGTATGTCAATAAGAAATTAAAGAGATTTTTTTGATAAGTTAGTTTGGAAATAGTACTTAACGCTGGTTAAATTGAATTACATTGAAATATTATTCATATATGTTGGAGATGCAACTGGGAAGTGGGTACATATTTCCATATATGGTGGCAGTGCAAACATATAAATGAGTTTTGAGAAGTGGCTTTCAAAGAAATTTGTAAAATATTGAATTTAAACATTGAAGCAGACCCTGGCCTAGCATTACTGTCATTATTTAGAGAACAAGTGGGACAAAATATTAAAGAATTGATGACAAATGTATTAACAGCAGTAAGATTGATAATAGCAAGGAACTGGAAAGTAAAGGATGATTACCAAATTAGACGACTGGTATAAAGAAGCTTGGAATATAGGTATTAATGATAAGTTAACTTGTTATATTAAGTAGAAAAAGGTTTGATAAGTAAAAATAATTTTGAAAATATTTGGAAACTGTTTATTGAATTTGTCTTAACAAAAGGAAAGGGGTGTGAACCATCACAAGAGTCACTGCAGTTCTGGAAAGGGTGTAGAAGTGGGTCAACCTGAATTAATAAATGATCTTACATTAAGTAGCATGATTTATTGGTCCTGGTGGAGGTAGCACTGCTCTTATTGTATTGTTTAATTATGCTTATGATTATATTAATTGCTTTATGTTTGTTTAATAAGATTAAATATTTTTTTTAAAAGATTGAATATTTTTTTAAAAAAAGACAACATGGCCCAGATCAAGCAAGCAAAACCTTCTCATATGGAGCCAACAAGGAATAGTTTGTAATTAAGACCTGAGTCGTTCTTAATTTCTCAGGACTTCAGCTGAACAACAACAGCTGAAGATATGCCAAGATATGCATGGATATCTTACTGTGTAGCTTTTAGTATTGCATTAGAAAGCACTGAGGTGCTGTGGTTTCAGTTTCCACTCTTCCAGTGTAATGTGACAAGGAAGGATCGTTGCATCTTCACAGTTTGGAGGGTAGCTGACAGTGAGAGAGCGAGACTTCACATTACTTTTGAGTCACTGAAAGAGGAAACGCGACTTACTACCTGTCAGTGAACTCCAGTGTGGCACCAATCTGTTTTCAGTGCAAAGATAAAAGGAACAAGAAGCTTAACAAACTGTATGTAGATTGAGCTCATACCAGGAGTAAGCTGCTTAATAAGTTCTGCCTTTCATTATTTCATAGCGAACTATATTCCACAATGTTCAGTGAATGAACTCTGTGAAGGAACATGGTACTTGGTGCGAGTAGATGAAAAGCACAGACGGACCTATGCTCGTCGCCCTGTGCTGGGTGATGGGCCTTTGGAAGCTGGAGTGGAAGTGGTTCATCTGGGCCTTGCTCATGAGGTATGGTCTTCAAATTCCCCTTCTTAATGTCCAAGGGCAGGTACACAGATAACAGGATTGATCTCACAGCTGCGTTTTAAGACATTGGGAGCAGTCTGCAGAGTTGAATTCATAGCCATGGATCATGAATACAGTGGATGAATGATAACAATGCTTAAGGCTTACCCGTTTTCAGTTTTTAAGTGGGAATGTTATCCAACTCCACATCCTGGTTAAGCAGGGAGCCTTAAGTGTAGTTAACATCAGTGTTGATAGATTGGTTCGCTGAAGTTAAGGCACACATAAACGTGGGCGGCGGGGGGGAGAAACTGTTAGAGAAAGAGAAGTGCACAAAGCTGGGTTTTCCTCACAATTTTTAACCATGGTTCCCTGCCCCCTTATATGTGGACCAGCCCTCCAAAAGTGTGCATTCTTTGCTAACTTTTCTTTATCTTATTTCTCTTTGTTACAAAACTAAATTACAGAATATTAAGCGCATGTAGCGGAGTATGTCTCTGTTTGCTATTCCAGTAAGTTACTATCTTCAGTAATACATAAACCCCGTGAAATCATGTATATCCTCCCTTTCTGAGCTTGTTTAATATGGTCTCACGCACCCCCATTCCCTGCCATTTCTTAAATTCTCTGCTCTTGCAGTGTGCCCTGCCCACAATTTTTGCTGCAGCTGACAAAACAATCACGAAAGATCTTTCCTTTATACCTTAAATACACAGTCTGAGGTCTAGGTTGGGCTCACCACAAGGCTTTAACTGCAGATTCCATGGGTGCTTCTTCCTGCAATCCACATACCGATCACTCTTTTTTCACTGCTGTTAACAGTGAGGATAGCATGATCTGTGCTAGGATTACTGTGCCTGCACAGCTCCCAAGCTAGCATCGTTTGAAGCTTTTAGGGATGAAAAGGTTGTACAGCCCCGCTCTCCATTAATATATCAATCTCAGTAAGTTAACCTTAATCCTTGCTATAAACCTGTATCTGAAATTTTATACATAATCTCAGTAATCCTGCCCTAATATCTAGAAATGTTAGCAAAAGCAAATCAAAGATGCAAAAAAATGAGCATTGGCAAAGCATCCTTCCTTTCGTAGTATTTATCCTATAAATCTTGTTTAGCTTCTGTGGCCATAAACTAAGATTTGGTTTCCACTAAATTTGAATAATGACAAATGTCTTTCATTCTCCCAATTTTAAATAATGTCCAAGTGCTTTATGCTGCTGCTGTTGACAATTAACTAAGTCATAATTATTCACTACCATTAATGTACTATAAGTCTGGGACATGATCTTTGTTTTTTTTCCGATGAATAACATCTCCATTTCAGATAATTGTCCATTTGACTGTTGTTACCAACCCGCTGCAAAATGCCAAATTTTAAAAACTTGAAAGAAAAGATGTTTGCAACTTAACATTTTTTGCACAATTTCTCAGATGAGAACACTGCCATTCTCAAGCATATCTTGAAGTCTGTATAATGTCTCTTTGGTCCAACTCTGAAAACTTCCTAGATATTGACTGGGGTTGAGTCCATTATTGTGCTCTATAGAAATTAGTACTGCACTATGGAGAATTGTCTGGATTAAGCATTTACTAAATTACTATTCCTGCTTGTCTAATTTATTTCAGAACAGAGTAAAATAATAGGAAGCTGTGTTTTTTAATGTGTTCTAATCTGCAGCTTTCCCTCCTTCCTTCCACAGCACATCCCTAGTCCTGCCAAGAAAGTACCAAGAATTCCTGCAAAAACAGACTCTGAAGTAGTTGCTGTTTCTCTTTCCAATGGAGAACATTAAGACACCTCTGTGAGGTGGGAATTGAAAAAATGAGGGAGGTGGAGATGTACATGGGATTAACAGATATTACCTACATCCTGCTGTACAGTACTGCTTAGTTGGAGCATGAAAATGTTAATCCTGACGCGCTGTCTTTTGATGCGGTTTGTTGACATGTGTAGTTTCATAACACTAAAAGTTCTTGTGCTTCTTGGAACAGAAATTACCAAGGGCTCTTTCTGAGAAAACAATTTGTTGTATGTTTGTTTGTTTTTAAATAGGCATGGTTCAGGAATAGGTACTGTAATATAGGCTCAGGAAAACTTCAAATGTGTTTGCCCTGCCCCTCCCACCCATTTTAATAAAAGTTAAAATTTGTAATAATAGCCTCCCAAAAGGAAGCAGCTCTTTTTTGTTTTAAAAAGCCATTATTAAGAGAAAATAATGTGCCCTAAAACCTTTTGTGTGTCACCTTAGTCTTTTATGTTAGGGTCCTGTGTGCCTTAACAGGATAAGCACCCTGCCTCTTAATACAAACTTTATTCTGCCTCTCAAAGTACTCCTTGGATTTGAGAAGGGTGCAGTGGGTTTGTTTGTCAAGGTGCTATTTATTGGAGAAAGTTTTTCCAGTTCTGTTGTAAATCTAAACCTATCCTAAAAAGGTGGATGTCTGTGATCTACAGGTGAATCTGGTCCCAATAGTATATTATCACTTGAAAACCTCATTTTCTCTACCATAAGCAAAGATACTTCTTCAGTACTAGTAAAGCTAAAAGTTGCATGCCTTACAAGTGAACAGCCCGTTCTGCCCCTCCCCACACCCTCTCCCCATGGCAGAGTATTGCAACAGTGTCTTCTTGGTACCTTAGAAATAGTTGAAAAATGAATTCCTTTGTACCTCTCTTGTGCAATCTTTTATAAAGGTTACCCGAGAGCAGGTTTTTCGTGTTCAGTTTCCTGTGAACAAAGACTTGGTCAAATGTGCATCCTAACAGCTAGGATCGATCATGGAACACTTTCTTCATCAAGGCAGTTTTTGTGTGTGTGTTGGGGATATTCTGCAACAAATAGGTGTGACTCTGCATTGATATATATGTGGCTTCATATTGCCAGCTTGTTTAAAGCTCCATTTTCATTTCTGTAGGAATGGTCAAAGGCTGCAGTCCTCAAATCACTTACTGTAGAACAGGCATGCACACTTGGTGAACCCTGAAGCTGAACATAGTTCACCAGTTGTGACTCACTTGATAAGCCTCCCGAGTTGACTGCCTGTAGCAAAAAGAGGGGTATTGGTCAAGCACCTGGCTGGGCATGGGACATGGCTTATGAGCTCCAAGTTACTCTCTTCTAGAACAATTCGTGATTTTCTTAGACCTGTTGCAAGTATGAATATGGGCTCTTCTGAGGGTGTCCACTGGCATGCTGGGTGGGCCTAGATGAACTGGACTTAAAGGGAAAGAAGGTTCCTGGTTTGTAAAATATATTGCATTTACACTAAACTTCTAGTCTGTCCTGTTTTTATTTTGCGTTAACATGCTACAAAAACCTTTGTCTATTAAGACTTGCAGAATTGGTACATATTGTGCAGTGTTACAAGATGCACGGGGTTTGGTGTTATGTTTTGTTTTTTAAAAAATATCACTGACTCTGGATTGATAATCGCTACACCTGTACATCGCATTGTACAAATGCTTTGACGTAACATGCATTGAGAAACCAGTGGTCTAAGTGCTGTGGCTTCACGTGACAGAGCTTGCTGTGTGTACACGTTGTTGGAAGCATATTCAGTCCATTGCAGGCAATGGACATGCTGAGAACCGTAGCACACAGTTTAACCTTTATACACCTCACAACCAATGAGGCAGATGCCTTGTAAAATAAACATTGAGCTATTTGAATTACCTGTATTGATGTAGTCATACTTTGTGCTTTAGCCCCACATCAGCCTGACTGTGAGATACAGCTGAAGGCCCTACAGAAAGCAGATTTAATTAAGGAGTGAGTTATCAGCTCTTTCCTCATCTAAGCCAATAGTGCTGAAATTGGAATATGAAAAACAGGATGAGTCTTGTCATGTATTCTCTTTAAAAATGATTGTACTTGTTTTGGATAGTTTTAGTTTTTGTGCTATATGGTGAAACATTTATTAAGATTTATATCCCTCTTTCTTTTTTAAAAATCTGAGAACATCTTACATCATGTTCCTCATGTTCTCAGTCTTGCCTTCACAGCAACACCTCTGTGAGGTAGGTTGGACTGAGAGTGTGTGACTGGCCCAAAGTCACCCAGTTGGTTCCATATCTGAGTGGGGACTAAAACCTAGGTCGCCAAGTCCCAGTCCTCTGCTCTTAGCCACTGCACCACACAGGCTCTCAAAATAAATAAATTTAAATTTTTGTGTAATAAACTACCTACACCTATTAAGATCACATGAAACTCTAATTTGAACTTGAATCATTTGATCAAATTAACCCTCTTGCCTGCACAGTTTTAAACCCAGACCTGTGCACAGACAGACAGACAGGCAAGCCATTCCCTGAGTTTGCTCAGGCACTGTAGAATAGCAGGTGGGAAAGGGACTTGGACAGAGTAAGCCGTAAGACCAGTGGAAAGAGCTCTGAGACCAGAGCATCCACAGCCCTGTCTCACTCATGCTGCTCCAGGATGCCTTTCTAGGAGCCAGAGGATTGTAGCCTTAGTCTCCTCACTCTTTCATACTGTATTGTAGCCTGGATAGCTTAGATCTGTTTTCGATTGTAACCCTAATTTTTTTGTTTTTGAATGTCTAGACTGTATTTTGGATGATAACTAGTGTTGTTTCGGTAAATATGCTTTCCATACATTTTTTTTTAAATACTGGGTTGGCTCCAGAATTTGTGAGCTGAGTTTTGATTCTGCCTATACAAGGGGGAATCCTAGCACTCCTTCCTTCATTCTTAACAATCTACTCAGAAAGCTGGGATGCGCGGAGACTGCAATGGCATGAGAGGCTGGAGAGCGGAAAGGGAATAATCAGAAATCTTTCCCCATCCCCCAGCTGTTACTTGGGAAAGTTGTGCTGAATGCAGATTCCTCCCATGAGCAGTCGGACATCTTTGGATCCAGCTCAGTAGTGCTGATTTTATATACATTCAAAACCTTAGAGCAGGAGGTAGCATATTAAAAGGTTACCAATTCCACATTTCCTGGGGTTAATGAAGATTAAACGTGGGTTCTTCATGTGCAGCATATATGCTTTTCTTCAGCTCTTCACAATGCTGCCAGCCAATTACAGAAATTGCAGTTCAACACATTGGAGGTAGCAAATTTGGGGAAAGGCACTTCCTAGTCAACAGCAATCATTCTTATAGAAATGGTTCTAAAGGGCTTTTAAAGGCACTTTTAAGGGCTACATTAAAAGATGGCATTTAATTAGCTCTAGTCTACAGGCTAGAATAGCCAGTGCAGGGCACCAAGTCTAGATAGGATGGGCAGGAGGATCCTCCAAGGAATCAGTCAGGACCCTAGCAGTGGCTCACGTTATACTTCCCTACTCAGATTTTGACAATAATAGGCTAGGTCTCTTTTTTAAAGCTGATTTGGTGATGAATGCCAATCTAATTTGGCCCACAAATTGTTCCATTACAATGAAGCTATACTTGAAGTTGAAATGTTGGTGGTACATTTCAATATATCATCTTTCCCAAGGCTCCTAATGAATTAACTGAAAGGGAATCTTTACCCACTGCTGTATGATCTTACCTGTTTTGATTCTCCTGCCTGTGTCTGTCTCATGGACTGCTTTCTCCTATGTGTGCATGTGCTAAAGGAGATGGTATACCTGTCATGGTCATTTATACCTGCGGCTACCACAAGATGCAAAATTTCAGCAGTTCAGAAAAGGGAGTGAGTAGTGGCTGCTGCAGATGTGCAAATTTGGGCTGAGACAGGTGTAGCTGCAACAGAGATGGCCCAGAAGAAGGCAAAAGCAACAGCTGCAGCATCAGGAATGATTGTATGGTTGCCTCTAATGGGATTGCACTTATTTACCTTGCATTATAGCTTGTCTCTTTTCTTCCTTTGAGGAACCTAAGTTATTTATATATATTTATTATGGTCACAGAGCAGCATAAGAACCCTAGGTAGCTTATACAGTTCCACTTTATCCTCACAACAACCACCTTGTAAGGTAGATTGGGCTGAGAGCCTGACTGGCCTTAAATACAGCTGTAGGGAGTAGGATACTAATGCTGAGTTTGTGTGCTACAGGCCTTGGCAACTCTTGCCTGAGTGTACTCCCAAGAGTCACAATTCCCAATTCACTTGGACCAGGAGATGGTGTGGGAAGCCCACCTATATTTACCAGTGGAGACCAGCATCATCCAAACTCATTCTGTTGAAACACAAAAAAGCTATTTCCAAATGCAGTATAATAAAGTGATTTCTACATCTTTTCTCTGAAGCAAGCTCCATGCGGGTTGCTGGGAACACAATGGAACTTGCTCCTGCATTAACAGATATCAGACTAAACTGCATGTTTGTCGCTTATGACCTAACTTTGTGGGTCAATATCACAACAAACAAATGGATTTGCACAAATGTCCAAGATAGGTTTTCCTTGGCCATTAGAATTTTGAGTGGGAATCGTGATTCAAAAGTCTTAAGGCATTTTTATTTATTTCAAAATTACAAAAATTCTAAGAGCAAGAATTAACCAGTACCAAACAAAAGGGCTTGATATGGTTCCTTAAAAACCAAGCCTGCAACTTGGTTTATAAAATCAAACACAGCTTAGATGAGTGTTTGAGGCCCCGATAGGTAGTCTGGTCTTTTTTTGACTCCTGTTCTCTGGGTTCTGGTTGGCTGATAATAGGAACAGTTTCCATGGCCCGTTTCTTTTGTACTCGGTGCAGAATAATTCTGTAGATCCCAGTTATTGAGCTATGAGAAACGCGCCTGTGGTTATTCTGAATGTGTTCCTCCATAATTCCCAAACTGTTCAGGACGTTTTTTACTTCAACTTCTTCCTCTTTGAGTGCTGCAGTATCCCACAAATATTTTGGATCCAGTTTAAATGGTTCCAAGGGCTTTGGATACTGTACTCCTTTCATCCATTCATTGTTCATAATGTACTCAATGGAATAGCGTTCAGATGGTACTGGCTGAAGGACTCCCCGAATCAGCTTCTGGCAAGGTTCCGACAGGAACAGTGGTAATACATACATTCCCTCAAGAATGCATTTCTTAAGTTTGCCCACTGTGTCTGCCCGGAAGGGCATGAGTCCAGTTGTCATGAAATACAGAAGAATTCCTAGTGCCCAGATATCCACATAAACCCCAATGTAGCTTTCATCCCTGAAGAGTTCAGGGGCAGCATAAGGAGGTGAGCCACAAAAAGTGTTCAGGGTTTCCTCTTTACGACTAATTGTGCTGAATCCAAAATCACCCACTTTCACGCAGGTGTTGCTGGTGTAAAACACATTTTCGGCTTTCAGGTCCCGGTGAATAATACTGCTTTCATGCTGCAGAGCCAAATGAAATGAAAGAAAGAACAGATATTAATAATCTTTCCAATTGGGTCTTGTGTAGGAAACGTGTGTGCGCGCGCGCTCTTAAACTGTATTTAATGGTGCTACTGCAAATGCAAACACAGATGTGCTTAAAGTACAACCTTGTGCAAGTTTAAACAGAAACAGGTCCTACAACTCCCAGCCTGTTTTTGGTCTAAATTTACATGAAACAGACTTTGGGCCACTCTTGCATGAATGAATCAGCAGAGTAGATTTCTGCCATAAGGCATGTTGTTGGGGTGGCAGGGAAGAAGCTCCATGAAGGCTTCTCTCCGGTGTTTTTAGTTTTCATTACATACCCATAGACACCAGCAAGTTTAATCGTTTAACTTACAGAGATAAAAGGAAAAAACACTAAAGCAGAATTCTGCCCAGTTGTTCACCAAGAGATAATTAAACTTATGGCTTGTGGTTATGTTCCAACTAGACAAATTATTCCCTACCAAAATTTCTAGGTAGAGACCTGACAATCAGAATTACTGGATAAATTCAATATGGTGGGAGTTACACCTCATCCGCACCCAATCACTTTCTGCTGAGGACAGATCTGGATTTCCAGCAAAAGCTAACTTAGGCAAAACACCTCTTAGGTTGCAAAGCACGTAACTAGCACCCCTAGGCTCCACCAAGCTTCCATAGACTGCAGATCACCACCAAACAAAAAAACAATGTTTGCTTGTATGTGCACTCGGTAGGATCCTGCCACTTCCTGTGTAGCCTGTTAAATTCACCTCACTATCAAAACTTGATGGGCATCTCAGTGCATTGCTGTGGCTAAATCTTCCCCAACCTGGCAACCTCCAGATGTTTCTGATGTCAACTCCCAGCAGCCCTGTCTAACATAGGAAATGGTCAGGAATCCTGGGAGTTGCATGGAGGGCACCACCTTGAAGAAAGTGATTCTAATCTGTTTCCATTAGAATCATGTGGCTGAACCAATCACTTGGATAAGTCTTTCCCATTCAATCCTTGTTGCCTCTCTCAGCTTTGATGAGGAACACATATGTATAAATAGAGACAAAAATAAAAAAGAAGTTAGGCTATTCTGCCTGTCTTTATGGGGGAAAATGACCCAGATTTTTATATATGTGTGCACACATGTATTTCTTATTCTCTCCTTCGGCGAAGGTGCTCAGAGCTGCTTACAAAAACTCAGGACAAACCGGTGAAATAAACCATGGCAGACCAGAGATTAGAAACACCCACCCTCCTTGTACCGTTACATTGCAATTCTCTAGCATAACAGAAAAGCTCACCACCACCACTTACCTCAACCTATGAATTTAACAGCTTATGCAACGGATCGTGCAAATCATTCAAATCACTCACTCCGGGACCACAGGAGCGTTGCCTTGCAGAGAGAACGAACTTTGGCCAATCTAGGCCACCATTCTCCAGGTTTCAGCCTGGGCTCTTTCCCAGCCCTATTGTGCAGATGCTGGGGTTCAAACCTTGGGCCTTCTGCAGGCAAAGCAGGTGCCACTGGGCTGAAACCTCTCCAGATACTGGTGATGGGCGAGGACCAAAGCCAACACAAGACGAGGCTGCCCCTTCCCTCTTTCTCCTTCCCCACCCTGCAGACAGCCAGGTCAAAGACAAGCTGCTTTTGTCAGGGGTCTGAAAGGGGCTTGTTGAGAGGACTTTGGAAATTAGGCCAAGAGACACACAAAATTAGGCTGAGGGCTGCAGGTTGCCCACTTCTCATTCGCAGAAATGTAGTAACACATCGAAGACAGAAAAGAGAGTAAAGAAAGCAAAGCTACCAGTGACTTACTGCTCTATCTTAGTTGTACTTTCTAAAGGCAGAACTATTCATTACTGGGTCAACATGGGGTTCCCAATCCCAGCTAATCAGGCAGTGGAAGCCTCTGAGAGGAAGAATGAGCAGGTGAGGCGGGTGCTTTATTCCTTTTTCAATCTTCCTCTTTTGATCACTTGCCCCAAAACTTGGACACATAGCTAGAGGGCACTTGTAGGAGAGAACTGGCAGGCATGGGAGGAATTTAGCACCCTTCCTACCTGTCACTTCTTTCCCCACAAGTGCCATCCTGAGCCATACACCCAAATAATTGTGGTAAATGTGGCCTTGGAATCGCCCATCTGGTGAGATAGTTTGTAGTTCCATCCTAAAACTACAGGACTTCAGAGTCAAGGAGAAGGAATGTGGCTGCTTGTAAACCACTACCCTTTCTACTGAAGCCTGGGAAAGTTAATTGGGTTTGGAGATAAAAAAGATGCCCCACCATAAAGCAATTAAGCCTAACCCTAGTCCCATTTTGCACAATATTAAAAATACTTCTTCCTGTTCTATTGAGCACCTACAATGTCCATGACTCAAAGCAGAGCCAGAAGTGAGTAAACAAGTTTTGCAGCATTCTTGTAGGTATTTTTTCTAAATATGTACAGATTTTTTCTAATATGGACAGAGTTGACTAGCTTGAGATCTTTGATCTTCACCAAATAGCATTGGTTGCTATCCATCTAGTATTTTGGTTAACTCAACCTACATCACTTAAAAATGGCTAGCACAAGCTGAGGCCATAGAGAAAGGTGGATACCTTCAAAAGCCTTTAACCTGCTTCAGAGTTCTGTTAGGCCTTTGACTTAGCCAGCACAGCCCTTCATACCCTCTTAGAAATGCTTTGGAAGCAACATTCTGTGTTCCTGGCAAGCAGATAATCCATGCTGATGTTGGGAGGGGAGGCCACACTGGGTTCAGTCCACACACACACTGACACACAGATTGCTTAGCAAAGATGCCCGGATCCTCTGGGTGCATAAAAAAGCTGTCTCTGCATAACCCCAAAAGGTGATTATAAGAACACCGGAAGCTGGCTTATAGTGAATCAGGGCCTTGGTCCATCTAGCCCAGTATTGTTGACCCCGATTGGCAGCCACTCTCCAGGGTTTCAGGCAGGAGCCCATCCTAGCCCTACATGGAGTTTCTGGGTGAGGAATGAACTAGGGCCATTCTGTCTGTAAAGAAACAGCTGTGGCCCCTGCCCAGAGGGACTGCGCTTGCCTAGCTGCAATCCAAAATGTGATGTGCTCCATTCCACTCTATGTGCCAGGGCTGCTCAGCTGGCAGCTGTAAAATCCTTAAATCTAGTTGGACTATCCAATCAATGGATTGTTGCTCTAGAGTCCATTTTCAATGGATCTTAGGTTCATGGCTTATTCAGTAAAATTATCATTTTCAATTTATTAGTCAATAAAATATCTCTTTAATAAGGGCCTATTTAAGTCAGCCAATGGCTTGATGTATAATACTTCTAATACTTTTTAAGAATTACATGTTTTGGCAACTGGCCCCTTTCTGGGAGGAAGTTGTAATATGGATAAACTTTGTACTGGAGCTCTCTCTAATATCTTCTGATGCACATGTTATTTTAAATTATCTATCTGCTTCTTGGAAATTAAAGTACTGTGAATACAATGAATCTTCATGCCCTTTCAATGGCAGAAAGACTAATACTTAAACATTTGAAAGGTAATATCTCCCCTCCTATAATATAATGGATTGAAGTCCAAAGAACAACGCTTACAACATTTGAGTAGATGAAATACTGAAGCTACGCTCAAATGGGCACATATAAGGATATTTGGACTGCTTTTATCGAAGCATAGGTCTCATCAATGCATTAAAATTTGTGCAGTTATATATATAACTATGTACTTTTCTTTAGATTTGCTTTGGTGAAATTCACAATAAACAAGACACAACAAGACACACTTCCCCCCAGCTAGGCACACAGTTGACCCTGTCTGTAGACTGCTCCCTCTCCCGTAATGCCTGGTTTGCAGTTTGGAAGCTGCTGACCCCGTCTTAGCGGACTCTACGGATTGCTGACCACTTGGATCATCCAAAGCCTTATTGCCACTAGCACATACATACGGCTGCAGAGGGGAAAGCAAGCCCTGCGTTTTCTTCTTTCAGAGTAAGACGTGCACTGTGAATTGCAGGGCTGCCAGAGGAAGTAAAGCAGAGATGGGGAACTTGCACTCCTCCAGACAGTGCTGGACTGCACTAGGTCAGCAAAGACAATATTAAAGGTTTAGAAGGAATTGCAGTCCAACAACATCTGGAGGGCCATGCATTCCCATGACTGGACTAGAGAAATCAGCTTACCATATGCTTAACGGCAGACACAATTTGGGAGAAAATGTGCTTGCTCTCCACCTCCGATAACTTTCCTTCCGTTGTGATTTTAGCAAAGAGTTCCCCTCCGCTGGCATATTCCATCACCAGGTGCAGTTTGGAGAGTGTCTCCATGACCTCATAGAGCCGGATGATATTCGGGTGATGCAGCTTCTCCATGCTGGAAATCTCACGGGAGAGTAAGCGCTGCGTCTTCTGGTCCAATTTTGTTTTATCCAAAATTTTGATAGCGACTTTTTCTGGAAATACAGTCATAATTTTCAAATGGTTAGTAAGTGCAATAATTTCAGAAAAGAAGGAAGTAAGTCATATGAACTGCTTTATAGCATGATTTGAGTCAAAAAGGTCCAAGTACCACCAATTAGAAGACAGTGGGGCAGTTTGCCCAAGTAAGCATCCCACTGTGGATTATTTTAAGCCAGTTTATTTAAGCCATGGTGAGTTGAAGCAAGTGCTGGTGGCCAGTATGAAACTCCAGCTGAAATGGAAACTTGTCGCATTGTCCAAATATGGATAAACTACCTTGGCATAACTCTAGAATTCCTCACAACCCCCTGGATTTAGAGGATACAAAATGTGGCTTGAAGCTTCAGTATGGAGGCCATGGTCCCAACACTCCTCCTGGTTCAAATGAGCCACAACAAGTTGCAGCTATTGGGTGAACCTGCTCAATGTGTAATTGCTCCATCTTTCAAAGTAGGAATTCTGGGGACTGAATCTGGCACCTTTTGCATGCGAAGTTGGACACAGTTCAACCAAACTGCAGAATTTTGCTTTATGTGTTTTTAAAAAGTTGTTCATAATAACACTAACAACTGCTTTTATACAGCAGGAAGAATATGTAGCCTGGTGCTTCCCCCTGCTGATTTTTGTACTACAGCTCCCAACAGCCCCAGGCAGCGTGACTCATGGAAAGTAACTGCATCCAAGAGGCCGAGAAGAAGATACCAGTGTGGTGTAGTGGTTAAGAGCACGGGACTGGGACTCAGGCGACCTGGGTTCTAGTCCCCGCTCAGCCATGGAGCCAACTGGGTGACTTTGGGCCAGTCACAGACTCTCAGCCCAACCTACCTCACAGGGTTGTTGTGAGGATAAGATGGAGGAGGAGATGTAAGCTGCCTTGAGCCCTTTGTAGGAAAAAGGCAGGATATAAATAAATTAAATAAAATAATTAAAATAAAATAAATACCAGGCTTCCAAACCCTCATTTAAAGACTGAGGATATAAAGTTGTCCCAGAGCGGTCTCTGATTATTCCCCAACCTATTTCATCAGTTCAACGTAGTAAATGTAGCAGTTTCAAGCTATCACAACACACATTCTCCTTGATATGTTCTCTCAAAGCACTGTGACCATTCTGTTTGCCCAGCTATTCTTGAAATCATCCATCTTTTTCACTCGCTCTCCTTCTCCCTTGAACTCTAAGCTGTCTAATGAAGGCCAGCAGAATCCAGCACAGAGACGCATTCCTTTGACGCAGCCACTGTATCTGTTTTTGGAAGCATGGCATCTGTATAATCCCGAATATATGAAAGCGACATATTCTAAGGAACAGGACTGATTCAGAAGCGCCTGAAAGGACTGAAGGCAAACTATGATCCAGAAGGAACAAGTTTCTTAGGCTTGAGCTCAAAAGACGTATGAAAAAGAAACTGCAGAAGAACGGCGATGGACAGGTTAAGCATTCTGCCCTTCCTTCACTGAGGGCTCAGCTACACACCAAGTTTCCCCAGCCTGGCGCCTTCCACATCTGTTGAACTGCAGCTCCCATCGTGCAGGAGGGGAATGATGTGAGTTGTAGTTCAGTAGCTCTGGAAGAGGGTTGCATTACAGCATTCACAAAATTGGCAATGGCGTGGATGGTTTTCAAAGCATGAAAGCCTCTGCAATAAAGATTTAATAACAAGTTTGGTCCTTAGATTCAGCTTGACTGAGGCAGCTTTGGGTTTTTATTAAAATATTTATAAATTGCCTTTCTGCTCTATTAGCTCCCACCTCAGGCAATACATAACGCAAAGCATTAAAACAAAGCCAGAACAACAAATGACATCAAAACCAGGGTTAGGTTTAAACACATCCCAGACTGCATCTTTAAAGAAAAGAAAGCAGCGAGAGTATTTTATATGCCCATCTGAACTTAACCAAGGTGAGGCCAATCTAATGTTAACCTTGCACAGTAGCCTCCTGTTCACTCACCTTTTAAACTGCAACAACTTTGATAAACACTCCTGGAGTTGGAATTACCATGACTCCTGGCACAGCCTCACCTTCCAGTATAAAAGTTGCAGTGATGCCCAGCCAATGTTAGACTCAAGTAGTAAATCTAAGATGCCCAAGAAAGGGAATCACACAATTCAGGTGCTGCCACTAAAGGCTCTTGCTGCACCTTCTCCTCAGCTTGGCCTCTCTTGGTGACGGGACAAATGAACAGCGCTTCTGAAGAGCATCATACATTGGTAAACATCAATTGGTGCAGCTGATACAGTGGCAGTGCATTGTGGTGCGCAGAAGGGTTTCCTGCTTTGGGACACTTTTCTTCTTGCCTACTGAAGCCCCACACCTTCCCCTTGTTTTATTTTTCAGTAAAGTTTGTTATGGACTGACTGCCGGGTACCTTCCAAGTAAAGCGAGGGCCTTTAGCTGTTTCCATCTTTTTCCCTGAATGCTTCTGGGTCACACATTGGACATGGAGCTGTTGTTATGAAGTGAAGATGGCAGGCCAATCCTTTCATCCCATTTTGCAGTGGTGCCTGGGACAGATTCTCCGGTTGCCGTATGTACCACAGGCCCTCAAAGGTTGCCTATCGGGGCCTATCAAATACACTCCAGACTGAACTCCCCACAACCTTTGCTGTGGGTTGCAGGGATGCTCGGGGGGGGGGATGTGCACAAGAATCACCCTTCTTTCTTCTTTCCCACAATTATAAGTACACAGAGAAGCACACTTGGAGGGAGTTCCTGCCACGTGGCATTCCCGGAGTATTTCTGTTTACTGTTGCAAACTGAAAGGTCTGCCAAAACTTTCTGTCAGGAGCTGCTGGATCTGCCCATAAAAAATACATCAGAACCAAACTACAGAACGATTTTAGCATTATTAAAAATCTCTGAAGCGTAGCCGCAGTTGGGGAAACTTCAAGGGTGGTGCTACATTACAGTTTCCTAACCAGCTGCCCTCCACATCCTTGAGATGACCACTTCCATGAGCCTCAGCCAGCATGGCCATTGCTCAGGGTTGATGGGACTTGCAATCCAAATTGTCCAGAAGGCATTAAATTGGGGAAGGTTTGACTGCAGAATTCTTTTTCAGAACAGCAGCACCTTCAAAAGGAAGTTGGAATCTGAGAGATGTACCAAGGCAACACAACAACAAAGCAGTGAAAAAATTCAGCGCAGATTTACTACTTCAGCCAGAGCTGAGATCTCCCGCTTTAACCAATTTTGCTTTTCTGGTCCAGCTTCTGCATTTTATTTCAAGAAGTTTAGGGGGAAAGATCAGGTTATCCTAAACATGCAGCTTGTTGGCCTCTTTGAGAACGAAAGGTTGCTGTAACCTTGCCCATGCCATCAGCCAGGAGCTGATCTGCGCTGCTGACGGAACCATCTGAAACAGAGCTTAGAGTTGGCATGGAAGGCATTGCCTGGAAAGGGAGCCAAACAGGAAGAGGCAGCTCAATGCACGTGGATGAACACATAGTCTCAAGTGTAGGTCCAGTCACAGGCAGTTTTCTAACAGGTGAACAGCATAATCTTGCTTCTCTGCTGAGAAGTAACTCCAACAAGTTCAGTGGCACTTCTGATTCCTTGATAGAAAAGGAAAAGATGCCCAGAATCTCTACAAAGCACACCTGGCCACGTTCACATCATGACTTCTTTATCGTAAATAACAGGCAGGAGACTGATGCCAAGAGGCAGGCAAACTCACAATGATGTCACGTGGTTAGCAGTTCCAAACAAAACACAGGTAGGCAGTCTGGAGTTTTCCAGGGATTATGTGAATAGTAATTCCAAGCATCAAGAGGGCTCCTGTTTGCCTAATCCTGCATTAAGAAGTAGATATGCATTTTCTTAGCAGCATCTTCATTCAGGTGCAACATTTGCTTGCATGCTGAGTGAAGACAAACCTTGATTTGGCATTGGAATGGGATCTCCTGTCAGGAACCTGTCTGAAATCTGTGCAGGTGAGTGCAGCTTAGACCTCAACATGCTAGCGGAACACAGGTTGTATTACTAGTGTGCATGTGTGCACACACCTGCCTCAAGCAGTGAAAAGAGCTACCAAAGGAGTCCTTGTTGATATTCTTATAAAGGCACCGCATTTTTCCATCTATAAGACGCTCCCATGTATAGGATGCCCCCTACTTTTCCTACCCATCTCCAGCGAGCAAGCTGCCGCCCCCCCCCCATGGTGCCTTGCTGCCCCCCGTGCATGTGTGCCATTTCGCCACCCCCCCACGCACCGCCCCTCTGTCCACACTCGCTGCCCCCGCCCGCACCTGCAGCCCCCATGTATAAGACGCACCTCAACTTTTAAGTAAATGTTTTTAAGAAAAAGTAGCGTCTTATCCGTGGAAAAATACAGTAGTTGGTGCCTTTTTCAGGGCTGCTTTAGGCACAGAATAGTCCATATGAGAACTTGTGGCCATGCCCCTACTTCATTTTATTTTTGACAATGCTGGAACAGGCATGCTCTTGCACATGGGTGGAAGAGAGAGAGAGATTGCACAGGTATCTAACCTCTCAAGGATTTCACCTGGCTTGCTAACCTTTTAGAACAAGAGTGGGGAAGCACCAGCCAAGAACTGGATATACTCCACCCTGTTCCTCAAAGTCAGGGAAGAAGTGGGCAATGTTCAATTTGATATCTACAGCAGATGCTGAAAGAGGGCATGTAAGCAGCATTTCCTAGATTCTCTTAGATGTGTTCTGATATGCTGTGGTTCTAATTTTGATCAAATCACATCTCTCAAGATTAGCAGTGGAGATTACGGAGGCTTCTGGACCTACTTTAGCCCTCCGGCATGGACACCCAGCATGCATGCCTGGGAGAAAAAATCCACCACTGGCAACCTGCCAACTTGGCATGGCTGGAAGTACACATACAAAGCCCCTTACAGAGATCCCTACGTTTCAGTCCTGTTCAGTTGGAATTATTTACCCTAGTGAAATGCCTGACAACTAGCAAGAAACTAGGCCCAAGACAGAAATTTCAGTGCATACAGTTTGCAGTGTGGGTTGCTGAAAAATGATTTGCAAGCTCTTGAAGCAAAAGGACTTAACAAAGCTTGTTTACCGGAGGTGAAAGTACAGTTCAGTAGCAGAGCACATGGTTTGCATGCAGAAGATCTCGGGATCAGGGCTGGCCCTACCACTGCCTAAAGTGAGGCAACTACCCCTGGTGGCCGATGCTGGGAGATGGCAGAGAGAGAGCTGCACGCTTGTGCTCTGCTGGCTTCAGGGCAGAAGAACAGGAGGTCCCATTGCCAGCTGGCTGTTCTAGCTGGATGGGAAGCATCTTGTTCTTCAACCCAGACTGTAACATGCCCACGCCCAGGTCCAGCCTCTGGCATCTTTGCTTAAAGAAGGATTAGGTAGCAGGTGATACCTTCTTCCTGAGATGTTGGAGAACTACTTCAGGGTAAGGTGGACAGTCCTGGGCCAGGTGGACTAACTGTCTGAGAGTGTCAAGGGAGCATCACATGTTTAAGCAGGACAGGAAGCAGTTGCTTTCTAAGCCTGAAAAAAACAACTCTTTGACCAAAGGCAAAAGAATAATGCATGCATGTACACTGATTTGTGTTCTTCTGACGTATATCAGCTGTTTTTTTCCTGAGTCTTTTTTCTCAATTATACTGGGTATTGTGGTCATCAAACATCTTGGGAAGCTTGAACAGCAGCCTAGTAATGCATTAAATAAGGGAAGAAACACCCCTAACAGTCAAGGCATCTCAAATCAAACTTGTTCTTTCAATTTCAATGAGACTAAACCATAATCTGCTCTCGATGGGGGCCAAAGTCCATGAACTCCATCAGAGGTTTGCTCACAGTAAAGGTAATACCTATCATTCTGAATCCAAGCTCTGCTTCCTCTCCAAGGAAAATAAGGAAAGAAGTTAATACCCTATATCAGATAATTAACTGGAATGGGACCCTGAAGAAGAGCTATTCTTAAAAAATGGAGCTTGGTCATCAGAATAATCCTGGGTTATAGAGAGAGCAACTAGCAAATGCCATGGTATCTTGTTTGGCTACACCAAGTATAACCAGACAAAAGTTGGCTCTGATGCAAACAAAAGTAGATAAATAATTCTGGAGATACTGAGAAAGAATAACCTGCAGGTTTGGCATCTGGCAATGGCCTGGTGGTTTAGAGGGTATTAGATGAAACAAAGAAATCCTTTTTTGCTATGTATGGAGCCGGATACGTTGCATGTTTACTTAGAAGTGCCTCAATGTACTTTGTGAGCTCTGTCCCGGGTAACTGTGCACAGTATTGCAGGCTTAGGTTCACACAGCAATGAGAAAGAGATACACAGAGAGACAGGAAATGTCAGAAAGAGAGTCAATGCCAGTGAGATAATGAGCCATCTGAAACTGGTCCTGAAAGACACTCTGGAGAGCGGCCTGCTTAAGGTATTAATGACATTACTTCAGAGGTGCTTCAGGAAGCTTTCCTCTAGCACTTGGGCTAGGATCCAGCAGCCAAACCGTTCCCAAAAGCATGCCCTCTAGATGTGCTGACTACATTTCCCATCATCCCAGGTGGTGATGGATGTTGTGGTCCAACAGATCCGGATAGTGCCAGCTGGGAAAGGCTAATCTAGTGACAAAACTGTTGCAGAATTTCTGTAAAGTGGGTACAGTGGGTGGCTGAATTAAAAATAGGCCCGGGATGCTCCCACCTTGTACTGGCCAGTATTTTTTTCTTCGTCTGCAATGTATCTCATAGGAACCGGACCGACTGCAATGATATATGTTTCCAGGCTGTCTCGCCTAGCAGTGCCCTACATTTTTAAAAGAATCTTCTTAGTGAAAGCTCCCACCATACTTCGAGACCACTGGCTGTTGAACTTTACATAGCTGTGCAAAGAACAGACCAAACACAAAATGTGCCAATTGGGGTGGAACAGAGCAAAGGAGGGGCAGACAAGCACGGGCAGAAGGACAACGGCCGAGGCCAGCCCGCTTTCCACAGGACAACCAGGAGGACTGAAACAGGGATCAGCGGGCGGCTTCCAGCAAAGCAGGACTGCTGGGCCAGTCCAAAATCTTGCAGGACTGAGTCACCTGAGATAGTCTAATCCCCGGACAGGAAGTGAAATTCCCAGGGCTCCTGCACCGTGCCGTCATCCCGGATTCGTTTCCTAGTGGGAAATGTTGGCACACGCTTGCCGATCTCCATGCCATGTGGGGCTCTCAAGCACCTGCCCTGGCATTTGCCAAGGTCCCCGGCCCTTCCCACTTTTTATAACAAATGGTCGAGCCCTTTGGCTGTGCAATGGGTTTCTGCTGGTGCTGAAAACTGGGGGTTCCACCGAGTCAGTTGCACTCAGTCCCCTTGGTCCTCATCTATTATTATTATTATTATTATTATTATTATTATTATTATTATTATTATTACTATTATTATTACTACTACTACTACTACTACTACTACTACTACTACATTTCTATGCCGCCCCTTGCCGAAGCCTCGGGGCGGCTTACAACACAATACTCTATGCAAAAACATGCATCCCAGTTCTGATTCTCATAAAGCAACTTTCATATTCAAAAATATGAACATGTGATGAAAAACTGAGGAGGTGGGCAGGGTGTGGGAGTCTTCATCTCCACAGTCAACTATTCCAGGAAGTTATTCAAAGACTGCTAAAAGTGTGGCTCACTTGTTTTTTAAAGCAGGGGCAGGCAACTTGGGGGGTCCTGGGGCCGAGTCCTCCCTTGCAACCCATGTGGCGCTACACCCCTTCCCCACGGCTCTCATCTGAACTGCCACTGACTCGGCCTCCATCATTCGGGGGGGAGGGGTGAGGGAAACAAAACGCAGGAAAAGGGGACCAAGGGAAACCGGAAAGCAAAATGTCGGCAGCAAGCCACCGCTTCTTGTGCTGCTCATCGGGGGCAGTGGAGGCTGCAAACCAGGCCGGAAGGGAGCGGACATGCAGTGCGTGGGACATGCGTCGCCCAGCCCTGCTTCTGAACTTGGCATGCAAGGGAGGAGGCCCCGGCAGACACTCCACCTGAAAGCACAGCCTTCAGTGAGTCCCTCCCATTTCCATGGGATTCAGCATCTTCCCCGGCACTTTCACACACACCTGGGCACTCCTCGGCCTCAGTGCTGCGTCTGTCGAGTATCACCCGCACCCGCCTCCCCAAATAAGCCGACATTCCACACACTGCGTAGCCTACCTTTGGTCAGGGAATGGATTCCGAGTTTCACTTGCGAGAAATTCCCACTCCCAATCTCCCCTCTGATGCGGTAAAACCCAATTCTCTTCCCCAGAGTTAATTCCTTGACCACCTTTTCATCCTGGGACATATCGAGAGTGAGCTTCTCGAAAGGGGTCAGTCGGCGCTGCCTGCCCTGCTCATCCTCCGCATAGACCTCACTCCTCGTATAGTCCTCCCCGCTGTCTTCCCGATTCCACCGGGCGTATCTGTGGCTCCCTGGAACGCCATTGGTATGTCCTGTGGTCATAGTCCAGGAGCAGTTACATTTCTGTCGGCTTCAATGCGCTGAGCCACGGGGAGAGCTCCGTTGACGCCGAGCCAGGCATGGCGGAGCAAACCGACTCTCTGCCAGCTTAAGCTGACACTGTGGGTAGTTCAGGGCTCATGTTGACCGATTCACAACTTGATTGCAAAGGGATCTTTCATTCTCCCAAAATCACAGCACTTGTTTCCTCCAGATGAAAATGACTGACAAGGTGAAGGGCCCCTGGCATCCACTTCTAACTAGCCATTTCAAAACTTGGAGCACTCCAGGAGTCACAACCTGCCGGCTTCATGGGAGATTTGCAAACCAAGTGGCACGCTGTATATCACAGAAGCCAGGAAGCGTGTGTCTCCGTGATGTGTGAAACATGAGAGCACCCCTTTTGGAGACTCCTTCAGCATCCAGGCTTCCATGGACCAACCACGCGATGTAGTGGCCGCTTTAAAGGTGTCCTGCAGTCTTTGGGTCCCTTTGAACAGCTGACCTCATCAGGCAGGGGACGATGACAAGGGTCCTTCCTCCCCAGTTCTGGTCCCAGTCCAAGGGCCGAAAGCTGCTCTGTCACTACATTCTTCAGCTGGCAACCCTCTGGCTCCCGTTCATATGTGCTGGAGCACTTCCTCGAAGCCATGTTGCAAAACGCTCGCCTGTGCCTCCTTTCGTTGCCATAGCTGGGAAAGGCTGATGCCGTAGGATGCTAAGCAAGCTGTAATAAGCCGAGTGCTGGCAGAACAGAAAGGAGGGTGGGTGGCAGCCGCGGCGGGGGATCGGTTCTTCTGTACCACCAAAGTCACACAGGAGGGCAGTGAAGGATTAAGTAACAGAGGCCGCTCTAACCTTCCTGTTTAGTGGAGGCTTCTTTGAAGTCCGGAGCCTCCTCAAAGCGTTCCCAGCTGCAACATGCTCCTAAAAGGAGGGAGATGCAGAAACAGTTGGTTGGAGCCTTCACCTAACCCTCTACAGCTCTCATTTTCCCCTCTGCTGATTCAGTTTAAGAAAGCCTTCTATTTTTATCCTGCACTTCAGTACTGCTTGCTAGTCACTGCTCTACTTGAAAGCCCCCTTGAATCTCCTCTCCTTGATGGGGCATTCAGAGATTAGAAGGATATCTGCGGGTGCTTCCAGAGTCTCTGAACACTCGCAGCCCAAGGGATGGATGCATCTACCATCATCCTCTCCTAACAGATTTTTTGCATGAAGGAAAAAGGTGAAATGAGTGATCAGAGGACAGCAGAGCAGGCTGTGTGGGGAGAGGAGAGAAGAAGCAGGGGATTCCACTGCCCCAGCTGGAATACTACTTAATGTCTTCCTCTTCCCTCCACATCCTGTTTTCCTTGCATGTCATGTATTTTAGAAGGTAAGCCCTTGAGAAGGGATTGCCTTGTTTTACTGGTCTCATGTCAGCTGCTTCAGGAGCCCTTTGGCTAGGGAGTGTGATACAATTAATAAAAAACAAGATGATCACTGGTTGAAGATGACAAGGTCTGAACACACTGCAAACTTTCATGAATAAGGCAAAGCAATAACACCATGAAGGCCTTGCCCGGAAGCATCTTGCGGATCACCCCCAAGTGTCAACTAGAGATCTGAGCCACAGGAGATCCAGGGTGGTGTAATGGTTAAGGGTGCGGGACTGGCACTCAGGAGATCTGGGTTCCAATCAGTACTGAGCCATGGAGCTCATTGGGTGACTCTGGGCAAGGCATCGACTCTCAGCTCGACCGACCTTACTGGGCTGATAATGCAAGGATAAAAATGAGAGGAGGAGAATTATGTAAGCCACCCTGAGTTCCTCAGAAGAAAAAAAAGGTGGGATACAAATAAATATCAGGCAGGCAGGCAGACCATGCTGTGTGCTGCCTCCTCTTTTACAAACAACCTGTACTTAGGAACAAGCAAACCCAGAACCTTGTCCCCAAGCAGCAAGTGGGTGCCTGGGGGCAGAATGGAATGTATAAATAACCCAGGGCCTACCTGTAAATTAAATGACCATTTTGCTGGGCCAGCGGTTTCTCTGCAGTTGAGACACATCATGGCCTGCATGTTTCAGCTATACCTGCTTAACTTTCTCCATGTCTCAAATTCTCTAATTTGCCTGCTATGTTTATGAACCCTTTAATCTTTCTCCTTCTCTCCCACCGGCAAAACTGCTCTGGCAATACTCTGGAAAACTAGAGGTGGTAGGGTGTCCTCTTTTACAGAGGAATGCTTTCCATTTGGAGGCATCCTCCTTTTGCAAGCACATCATGAGGCTCTTGAATTCTGACTTGAGCTTGAGGAACCACTGGTCATCTCCAGCCAGCACTTGGACAGCAGACTGGACAGACAGTTGGACGGGGAACCCGCTCACCATCTTCTTCCCTGTGCTGAGATGCCATGTAGTTCCACTTCAATTATCGTAATTATACTTCCACTATTACCTGTCTGCTGTCACAAACTTTCCTGAATGGGTGCTATTGAGATGAATTGGATGCCAATCTTCATCACTGTCCTACGGGCCGCAAATGATGGGAGATGTAGTCCACAGCTGCCAATGATGGGGATTGTAGTCTAACACATCTGGAGGGTGCCAGGTGTGAGGCAGCGGCATTGTCTGATAGTGAACCCATCACTGGAGGGTCAGTGCGATGCCATGGAGGGGGTGGGATTTAGATCGAGGAGCTGTGCATCAACACCCTGCTTGGCTATGAAGTTTACTGGATGCTCTTGTACTTGTTTTCTCCCAGCACAAGCAACTTCACAGGATGGTTGTGAGGATAAAACAGGGAGGAGGGGGATCCTCTGCAATCGCTTGAAGCTTTTGTTGGAAGGGCAGTATGACGAATGCGGGTCCAACCAAGCTGCAAAGGAGTTAGCATGAATGCAACTGGTTAGGGTTATGGATCCATTACGGATCCCTCTACAAACAGCATCACAGCTCATCCAGCAAGTTTGCCCTTGTGCTGCTACGCAATGCACACACATCGTTTTCAGGCTGGAAAAGATTCCTTCTGGGGATGCTCACAGGAGGATCCTTCCAAAGGTGGGGCAGAGCCAAATTATAAAAACTGCAGCCTATCTTAGTTTAAAGCTCTTTCTGACTTAAGAGAAGTATGTCAGCTTTTGAGAATGTGGGTGAAGGAATCACACAAAGGCTCGAAAATTGTCCAACGATGGAAAAGAGCAGAGCCATCTGACCGCCCCAGTGCATGAAGGCCAGGTTTGGCACCGCAGCATGGCATTTTACACATGGGAAGTACATGCTCTCTCCAAAATGGGCACAGTTTTCGACACTGAAAACCCACTTGCCATAGCTCAGAGACAGAAATTCCAAACGCTTAATCCCAATGGAAAACCCAAATAAAACGGTCCATGCGTGTGCACTGATACAGCCAGTCCCTGCAGGGCCTCCTCTGTGGTTCCCCTTCTTCCCCCGCTTTGTTAACATCGTGCCCTGCCAGGTAGACTGCATCCCATGATTACTGCATTTTAATGCATTAATTAATTACTATATCTCTGTATACATATCTATATAGAGAGAGCTTTCTCACTGATACAGCCTTAAAATGCTCAGGACCCTACAAGTTCTGACAAAGCAAAACCAGGCGTTCGGCCCCGGCTTTCTATATATGAGGACATGCGGATATAAATAGCAAGCCCCCTGCAGACAGGGCAGCTCAGGCCAACCTCAGCGGAGGCACAGAGCCGAGGAGGAGACAGTCCCCACCCTTCCCGCCTGGCACATTTACTATTCAGAGTCTATTTTTGCATTTCTGTTTCAGCGTTGACGTTAATCCCGGGGCACATGTCATGTTCCATTGTAATAAATGCACATCATGGGCACTGGAGCATTCATTCCCACCGTTACATAATCAGAACACATGCTGCAGCTTTGAACAAAGGGCTGTGCATTTGTTTAAGGCCATCATAGCCAGAAAACAGTGGGCCATGCAGCTGGACGGATACTTCCAGCACCTCTTCCTCCAAGGCTCCTTGTCCTGCCTTGGTTGCACTTTGAAGCAGCTTGAAATGGACAAGCTTGGTGCACCATGCCAAGGCCTTTGGACAGCCAATGCTTCACCCATATAGTCATAAAAGCTGAACTTGTGAGCTACACTCCTTTTAAATGAATGGACGTATTTTCCCATCACTGGTAAGCCCAGCTGTCTGCCTAAAGGGACCTCAAGGCCAGCCCTCCCATCAAGTAGGGTGGCTCGGCAGGGCAGGGAACGGCAGCGTGAGTTCAACGGCTGTGCTGCGTTTGGGCCACCTGGCAGACCTGAGCCCCCTCAAGGTGCCTGCTGTCTCCAGCTGCTTCGGAGAGGTTGCTGCTGGCCCAGTGCAGAAGGACGATTCAAATGCCGCTCTGGCCACCCTTTGCACGTGGCATGAAAGGGGGGCACCTTGTCCCGGAAGCAGCAAATGCCTCGGGCTGGCTCACGGAAAGGTCACTGGCTGATGCTGGTCTAGTTGGACTCTCGGACTAGTCTACCTCACAAGGCTGCTGTAAGACAAACAGGGAGAGGAGGAGGAAGATTAAGGAAGCCAAGTCCCTTGCAGGGATAGGGTGGGATTAGATGCCAATAATAAACCTAGAAACAAAATAGCTAAGAATGACATTAAACTAGTAAAGCATGATTTCTGAGGGCATCCTTTAGATCCATGGCAGGTAAGTAATGGCCCTGTGGATGCTGTTGGACTTCAACTCTTATTTTGTGGTCACTGGCTATGCTGGCTGGGTTTTATAGGACTGCAGTCCGATATCTTCTAAAGAACCATCAGTTTCTCCATCCTATCTATCTATCTAATGTATTTTGTATTTTGCTCCTTCTCTTCTTCCTCCTCTGTGTAGGGGAGCTATAATTGGAATTTGAGGGCTTTTCTACATGAGGCTGTTAACCAGCCGCTCTACCAAGGCTTCTGCTTTCAGATTCCTTGATAGATTGAGATTGATTCCTTTATACATCGTCCCAGGGTTCCTCCGGCGCCATCTTTCTCTATGTTCCATTACACAACCACTAGGCAGTGCCATGTAGAGCAGGACTGTGCTAATACAGATTGGTTTCCTGCCACCATTCACAGATGAAGTCTTTCCTTGATCTAAAAGAAGCCGCAGGAATGGCTAAAGAGGATGGGAGATGCCTTCAGCCTGAAGAGAGTCTTAATGCCCTCTCAGTTCTTCCCCAGCCTCCTTCCCACTTCCCCTTTCCCTTGATGGATGGCAGTGTGCCAGGGATGCTAGAAATGTAGTTTTCCTAGGACACCCAAGTTATGCAAAGACATTAAGCATCCAAGAAACGACGTTCCCCAGGGCCCCTGGTCCTAGGGAGGCCTTTGGAGTAACATCCTGATGGGTGCTAGAAACCTCCCTGCCCTGCTGTCAGGCCAAGTAAGGGGGAACATGGCAAGAGGCAGGTCCCAAGGGTTCATGGACAGATGCTGCAGATGTGTTTGGACTCCATCATACACCTGACTCAAGGGACTGGGCCCTCTTCTCACATAATACAGCCTCCCAAGGCTGGTGCCTCAGATTCAGCATCAAAACTAGAACAGGTGGGACTGGAATGCTGAGCCAGCAGGCTGAGAGAGAAGCCACAGTGCCATGGGAACCTTGGTGGGGCACGGGTGCGGCTGAATAGTTGCAGTCCCATAGCTACGGTGTCAGATTAAATGGGCTGACCCATGCAAACATGCCCTATGTTCTTGGCAATCGACCCAGAAATAGCAAGAACCACCCTAAAGGTGAAGGCAGCTCCTGCTGAGTTGGGAAGGAGGCTCTTGGGAATCCACTTCATATCATTAAGTCGCATTTCCCTAATAGCCTGTTTTCTAACTTCACTTGTGCCTTCAGCGGTTGACTTCTGCTTCTTTTGTATCACAAGATCACCCTGGTTGGCCAGCTTTAACATGATAAAAGTCTTTGGTTG